TAACAGATGATGCCTGAGTCTTAGGCGTGGATCTAGCAAACAGGGAGTCTCACTGCGTTGACTGTGCAGCAGAAGGCACTCTACCCCCCGAGGATTTGACCTGTGGCATTTCAGCTTGTTTTGGTGTGAGTGCACGTACCTTTGGTTGTATTAAAATGTCAGCCTTTAAAGAAGACACAGCAGCAGTTAACATGCGCTCTTCCTCTGGGGCCAGTCATTTAAAAAATGTCACCTTGCAGCAGTTTGCTATGTGGGCATAGAGCTCTTACTGTGCAGGCTTTGTGGGTTATTAAATATATAAATCCTGGGAAACATATGCAGGAGTTGGCCTTAGTTTTGCTTAAGATACTGGCAATGTACCATGGCTTTAGGTGCCACTACAACTTGCAATAGGATTTAGTGTTACATTATTATTTAACACAGGGTAACTAGCAGGCTGAGGCGTCGGTGGAGCTGCATCTCCATCGTTCTTAGATGTAAAATTATCGTTTTTTTGTAAAGGAGTATAGTGGCTTTGAAGACTGGGATGTCTCATCCCATTTATAAACATCCTACTCTTTCACCTTGCTCTGTGTGAAATGATTCATACAGAGCTGAAGTCTAGCTCTGCATGAATCATTTCCCCTGCTGTTGAATAGTTACAATAACACTTTAATGCTTTCAGTGGCCAAAACAAGCTCTGTGCTGGGGCATGATTTCATCTCAGAAATGACTTCCAACAATGACATTGTAGCAGTTTCTGCCTGTTTTAAACTTAACTTTTCCTGTCCCTTGAGAACCGCCATGGAGATACTGGTACCAAGTGTGAATATTTAACTAACAGAGCTGTGCAGGTTTATGTTTTTTCATATAAGAAGAATGAAAATAAATAAATAAGAATAATAATTTCATTTAGCTTTTTAAAATATGTACAGATGACTACAGATTGCTTACAGAAATATAAAATAAAGAATCAAATACCGTAAATAAAAAAATCTATCTCTCTCGCAGCAGCAGCTTTAGGTAAAATAAATGTAAAATAAATCCTCTGATGTCATATTTTATTGTTTCATTTCAACATTAGGTAACATAATTGCATGACCAACTCTCTGTTATATTGGCTTGTATTATAATTGAGTATGTTTGCCACCCAGGCTGAGTTGATCCCAGGCCTGGAAACCACATCTCTACTCAGGGATTTAAGATGTTCGTGAGGATCAGTATGAGAGAACAGGAGCACAGTGGAATGTGTGACTCTCTTACAGTTGCCATTGAAGTGCAACCTGTGGTCTCTCTGGAAAATTCAAAAAAATTGTCTTGCCACTTACATATGAAAATACATGGAAGACATTTTGCTGTCCGTTTTCCCCCTTGACTCATAAAGTCAACTGACCTCACTTCTGTCTACGTCTGAGAAAGTCTATTTTTCTATGGTGATTTCTTACCATATAGACTTTTCACATGCCCTTTTTTTTTGTAAACTCCATGCAATCTATATTCTTTATTATCTCTTTGTTCTACCTCAAAAGGCCCTCATCTCCGTCCCCCCTCTTTTTCTCTGAGTGTTGTAGCTGCTTTGCTTTCACATCACGACACACAGTCGATCGCGGGCACTACACTAGATAAATCAATAGACAGAACGGGAAAGGCTGAAATGCTCTGCTGGAGTCGAGGGATTCTCAGGCTCTCAGGGATGGAAACAAATCCTCCTTTTCAAGGCACACACACACACACACACACACACACACACACACACACACACACACACACACACACACAAAACAGGATTGTAAAAGCCAGCACCAGTATGTTAAAATTGCAGAAGCTTTAAATTGTATACACAGTGACTGATATCTTTGATTGTTTTCACTGCCTGTGGCAAACAGCTTGCTCGCTCTAATAACTGATTGTCTTTGAAAACTGTGAAACAAAAGCAAAGATGCTAACAGCTCAAAAGAAAGGGTTACGATTAAAAACAGACCACGGTCCGTCTTCCACCTCAGCGGCAAGGAAGAGTGGACAACAGGCACGAGAGGAATGCAAAGGAGAAATCCTTCCTGCAACTTATCCCATCTCCCCCTATCCTGTTTTTCTAAACCATGAGTAAGGTCTTTTACCTGCTCTTTGTAAATCGTGATAACACTTGTTGTGAACTGGCACTATACAAATAATGAATGATTAATTTTGCATTATCCTCATGTTTTCAGATTTTTTATTTTTTATTTTTTTTATACAACTCGTCGTTTTGATTTTATGAACGACATGGGCGTGAGCGATCTGACTGCAAATGGCCGTGTTGTAGCGGTCTGTCAGAAGGATGCTTAAAGCCCGCCTGAGTGTATTGCCTGTTGTTAGGTTGACTGAAAGTTTATTAGACTTTTCCAATATGGCAACCGCTTTCAAAATTGCCCTTCAAAAGCCGATGAGTGACGTCACTGAGACGTTGTCCATGTTTATATACAGTCTATGGGTGACACTGTAGCACCCCTTGCAAATGTTACAAGCTAAACCTGATTAGACTCAGTAAGGGATTGAATAGAATTTAAATTTGATGAACACATTCAGTACTGCTCTCAGATGCATTATGATGCTTCTAAACCCCTCTGACTTCAGATGTGTGACACATAATGGCTTTGATAGGACATTGATAAATGTTCTTTTTATTCATCTAATCTTTATAAAAATTGAATTGAAGACACATAATGAACACAGGTTGTGCAGCTCGCCTCTCTGAATTTCAGTCTCTACCTTTGTTCAACTTCAATTATAGTTTTCTAAAGCCTCCCGCCTGTTGGATTCTCTCTCCTGATCTCTCTCTGTTTAACTCCCTGATGAATTTGTCTTGTTTCTCTGCCTTTTTATTCTCACTATCTCTCTCTCTGTCTCTCTCTCCTCTCTATCTCCTCTGTCTCTCTCTGTCTCTCTCTCCTCTCTATCTCTCTCTCTCTCTCTCTCTCTCCTCTCTCTCCTCTGTCTCTCTCTGTCTCTCTCTCCTCTATCTCTCTCTCTCTCTCTCTCTCTCTTCTCTCCTCTGTCTCTCTCTCTCTCTCTCTCTTCTCCTCTCTATCTCCTCTGTCTCTCTTCTCTCTCTCTCTCAGTCTCTCTCCTCTCTATCTCCTCTGTCTCTCTCTCTCTCTCTCTCTCTCTCTCTCTCTCTCTCTCTTCTCTCTGGAGGGAAAAGCTGTTGAAGCATGGAGCAGGGTGGTCTGAATTAATCGGGAGTAAAATAAATAACAAAGCAGCTCGGCTCTCTGTTAGTTTGAATTGAACAACATCACAAAATATATTTACGGCTGGGAGAGCGACGCAGGGCGAGAGGGGAGAGGAAATAGGAGAGAAAACTGTGAGACTGTTTAATAAGGGTACATTTAACAAGCAGAGAGAGCGGGTTTATCCACAGAGAGGAAACTGACACATTTGGTCTGTTGCTCTGACTGTAGATTAGGACAGGGAGGGGGTCAAGACATTCTGACATTTTTTATCTCAATGTTATGTGTAATTGGATGGATTCACGAGTGGAGGAGAAAAGAGTATGAAGCTAAGCTACTTCATTATGTGCAGGAGTATTACACCAACATGAATAAGTCCTGTTATATAAGAAGCATCACCTCGGCCCTCTTGATCACGCTGGAGATACCTGAATGTTTACTTCTGGGTTCTCACCAGGGATGGGTCATGATTTGTGAATATTGAATTTGTTTGCCTGATCCTGAAATGACCAAAGTTTGGTCTGCTGTCTTGAAAAAAAACAACATTTTTTTTGGTTGGGGATTCAGCACCCATATAGGTTACTGAGGGTGAGCACGTTTTTGGCAAGCATTATCAGATGGTGAAAAAAAAAAATGAGTCACTGGCAATAATTAGAATTTAATACTAATAATATTGAGCAATTTTCAAATAGTACATTTACTTGTTATTCACACCCCTAGTTCTCACGCTGGCTCATCTAGCCTTCAAGCACTTATTTTGCTGGCAGGAAAAAAGTCATGGTTAAAAAATGTGGCCATGTTCGTGCACATTTGATAACACTAAAAGCACCATGCAAAGAGGGAACTCAATAGAAGAAGAAAAACAAGAGGGAATTAATGATATTTATCACAGCTTTGTTTGTGCATTGTTGTTTTAAAAATTTAAATTAGTCATAACAGGAGACAAAAAAACATCAATTCCAGTGTATGAAATGTCACCATTGTGCGCCTGCATTGTGGGTAGTCAATATTTCAGGGTTCAAAAGAAAATAAGAGTCACTCATCTAAAAAAAAACCTCATGTATATACCTCCTTCAAACACTCTGTCATTTACACACGAACACAAACAAACACACACACACATACACACACACACACACAGCCACACATGTACACACAGAGACAGACATGGGATATGCTCCATCTATGTCTGGTCTTCACACACTTGTAATTCATAAAAGATCAGAGCTCGGCTCCCTTCAGCAGCCAGGCTTCTAATGCATAGGTAATGACAATGAAGACGTGTCCTCTGAGTACCTCTCTCTACACACACACACACACACACACACACACACACACACACACACACACACACACACACACACACACACACACACACACACACACACACACACACACACACACACACACACACACACAGATTATTGCACCCCACTGGGAGTCCTTTTAAGTCTGGCCTTTTAATGTTTTCTGACTCAGCTGTCGGGCTCTGTACAGCTGGGATATTAGGACAGAAAAACATAACCAGGAGAGTCTGAGTAACTGAAGTCTGGAGTCTTTAACCTCACTTATCTGGGGACAGCGCCGTCCAGATGTCTGCTTTGTCATTATCTTTGTCTCTCAGTGTCATGGGATTCTTCTAATAAAGTTCTTTGCCTGTTTGTTTTGGAAGGTTTTCATAAAGAGTGTGTTTTATTTTAAAGTTGGAGCAGCTGAGAAATGTTTCCAGATTGGCTAACTGTGAAATGTTGAAGTGTTTGACATAAATGATGGGCGGCTGACTGAACTGTGCCGTCTCTGTGTCCTCTTCAGAAACTGTTTGGCAGCCATGAACCTTCATCTGTTCAGCTCTGGGTCTCCTACAACCGCCAACCAATGAAAAATGCCAGGTTCATGACCAGACATCCAATCACAGTGAGTCTCTTTTACACACACTGCAGCAATAACTCAGAAATGAAGAGTCTATGAAAGCTTAAGTGATACATTTACAATGAAGTAGGGCTTAATGTGCACTAAAAATGTTGTTGTATTGAAAAGTGTTGCATAAAGCAGGACTGTTTTGTATTTTTTAAGACCGAAACTAATTTCAGAGGGAGAGAAAAACAACATCTGATTAAACAGTCATTTTTTCTCTGTGTGGATTTGCAACAACTTTGTACAGACATGACAACATGACCATTGCAGACGTACTGATAGGCCAGTGCTTCTTTTTCCAACATATAACTTCATTAAGAACATTTGAAATTTGAATCGCAAAATCACATTGTGAAATACAATTTAAGTGCAGGTTGGAAACATGGCAACTAGCTCACATCAATGCATCTGTCTTTGTCCTCAGTGCCCAGTTTGTTGTCTGGACACAGAGAGATAGACACATGCATGGAGGTCACAGGATGGAATTTGGACTTGATTCTCTCAAAACATGAAACCTTTACGATCCTGAAAGCTTTCAAGGTTCATTTACCTGCTTTTGGTTGAATGTTCAAGATAAGTTCTCTGAACCCAGCAAACTGCGTCAGAACAGTGTGCTTCTTATTTCTAAAAATATGTGAAACAATCGACTTCTTGGTTTTGCTGGAAGAACCACCTACACCTCCCTGCACAGACTTTGCTTGAGCTCTGATATCCAGTATTTTCTCACTGTGATTGTCAAGATGATTCTCCTCTCTTCTTTCTTTCCCTAACAGGAGTACTACATCGCCGACGCTTCAGAGGACCAGGTGTTTGTGTGTGTGAACCACCTGAACAATGTCACACACCTTTACATCTCGGACACACAGGGCCTGTCCTTCTCTCTGTCATTGGAGAATGTGCTGTACTACAGTCCGGAGGGCTCTGGCAGCAACACACTGATCAGGTAACACACACACACACACGCATCTGTAGCTAATGTTAATCCAAACTCATTTCCCTGTTGGTTAAGAACAAATTAAAATTCACAACGGCAAGTCTAAAGTTAAGAAAACATTTATAAAACAGTCCAAATGATTTAAGACTACTAAACACAGGATCACAGAGTCTGCAGGTAAATCACCTCTGATTGGTTTTGATGAGTCGGGCTAATGTTAGCGGTTCTAGCACTACCAGCGTTCAGTCCTCCTGGCAGGTAAACGTCCACATGCGTGTGCTGACTGGTTTCACATTTCTCCGTTTGGTATGCCACTTGAACCTGACACAGCCTTCATCTCTGTTGTCTGGATTGAAATACTGCAGACTGCTCAGCTCCTACGAGATGCTCATTCACATCCAGGGAGTAGAGTGAGGAGATCAGCCCCATCTAGTGGTTGGTGGCTGCTTTACAGCTTAGACACAACATTTAACGAGCATTGTGGGCCTACATTAATAATAATAAAAAAAGAATAATTAGTTAAACCGACTTGTAATTTAGGTGCTAACTAGCAGAGTGCAGCGTTGACTAATAACTCACCTCTTTTAGTACAAATGCTGTATTATTTGACCAGTTCAGAAGTTTTGTCACTTTTTGTGTTTTCAGATCCTTCTTTTTAGTTTTAAACAACAAACACCAAAGATTTGATACAAATTGAAACAAAAAGCTTAATTATGTACTCTAATATTATCCACCATCCCTTTTTCTAATAACAAGCCATTTAAAGATTTTATACAATCTTCTAAACAAAATGGTTTCTCAGATTTCTTTCTTTCTTTTCTCAGAAAAACAGAGTCATTGTAATACAGTCAAAAGCTGCAGGAATAGTCGGCTTAGTTTTTAAAACTCCTATTTTTAGGTCATTAATTCCCTTCTGCCTTCATTAAATCAATTCATCGTACCAGGATATAGAATTTATGTGACGTGTACGCACAGGACAATTAAACACAACCACTTATGCAGACATTATAATAAAGCAGCTTCTTTAGCATCCTCAGGAAGTGTCAGGAATGTGTCTATGTCCCATTAAAAACAGCTCATAACTCTGATAATCTAAAGACTCAGCAAACACTGACACATAATGCCGCTGTATCTAATAACAGACAATCTGTTGATGTGACGCTGTCTGACCTGTATTCATTGTTCATCTGCTCTGGTTTTTTAGTTGCTTTGTTGTTTTGGCCGGATCACTGAGTGTTGACTCAGGTGTTTGTCTGCCAATGATGATTCTGTCTGTTTGTGTGACACTATGTCTTCTCTAATGAAATTATCTGTGGTTCTTCCCCCCCGCCGTCTGTTCCTGTGCAGATCTGATCAAACATGTTTTTTTGTTTCTTTGCATACATGCTGATTTCCTGCTCTATTTGGGTTCATAAAGTTCAAATTTGAATTTACCTCACTCTGCGGTGCAAAAATTTGACTCTAACAGCCGGATTTTTAAAATGCTGATGCGAATAATTTGCCTGTATTTGTCCTTCAGTGTTCTTGAACCAAGCTAAAATGAGCATGAAAAGGGATTATGGCGATAACAAAAAGAAGCTCTATGCAAGACATGAATCAGCAAAACCTCTTTAAGCCATATTGAATATGAAATAACTGCACTTTTTTAATAACAGATTTTTTTTTTAATTACATTTAGGAATATACAACCCTATCATCAGCCCCCTGAGCCTGGTGATAATGACATTTCTACTCTGTCTTTCAGGTACTTTGCCAATGAGCCTTTTGCAGATCTTCACAGAGTGGAGGGACTACGAGGAGTCTTCATCGCCACTCTCAACAACGGCTCAGTCAGCGAGGACAACATGCGCTCCGTCATCACGTTTGACAAAGGAGGGACATGGGAGCTGCTGCAGCCGCCCGCTGCAGACAGCCTGGGGGGATCTGTGGACTGCCAGGTACGCCTACACTCTTCAATAATGTCTGTTTGCATGCAGAAGAAATTGCTTCCTTATTGTCACCCATTATTTTCAATGGTTGATATGATTTCATTGGTTATTTTTGTGGTCATATCTGTTAACGCGGTATGTTTGCTCTGATGCTGATGTTTTTACTCAGCTGTGCAGCCAAAGAAAGTGCACGACCTCTTCTCAAAAACAATGTGGGGTTTCTGTAGAGAGGAATATGGCTCAGTTTGGTTTCTGTCTTGGGAAGAAAAAAACGTTGTTCCATTGCTGCGTCTGCTGCACATGTGCTGACCTGCTCACACAGTCGGTTGAAAGAAAAATATGTCTGACTGATTATTAATTTAGCAGGAAGCGCTAAAAGACAAGTGAGAAATGTGAAAAACCTAAAAGAAGCTCCCCTCTCTGTTTCAGCTCAGTAAAGGTTGCTCTCTGCACTTGGCTCAGCGCTGGAGTCAGCTGTTCAACATCCAGCTGAGGAGGATGCCCATTCTATCCAAAGACTCTGCCCCGGGACTCATCATGGCCACAGGTGGGACTACAAGCAGCAACACCAGGGGACCCATAAACACCTCTTTTCAAACCTCAAATCATTCAGTTCTCATTCATTTGTAAAGGATAAAGATATGGAGAGAAATGCAGCATTGAAACAAATCAAAATAACACAATAGATTAATGATAGCTCTCTTTTTTTGCACTCTGACCTGAACTGGTTTGAGATCACCATCCTTATTTAAACATGAAACAAAAATGCTTCGATCTTGAGGTCGTGCTGTAAATAATTCTACATGTTTGGTGAAAATACACAAAGAGGAAATGAGCAAATTCAGAATACACTTTGCGGACTAGAAGCATTGGACAATTTTGACATTGTCTTGTTTTCCTGTTGAACATTGTAAACAGTGTTCATCTCACCTCCATGGCAGAGAACACTAACTTAGTGTAGTTTATAAAACGTGATACAGAGTGTCATAGAGATCTCCCTCAATGAATTTGACGGGTTTTGAGTCCAGGGACTGGAGTTTGGAAGCAGCAGCATGTTTTCAGGTTATATCATTTCATCAAGGACTGATAGAAATACTGTTTCAATGAGACGTCTCCCGTTCCTGTAAAACCATCTGATATTGCTTGCCTGGAGGCGAGGAAGGGGGGTGGGGTCTAGGGAGAAGGGGCATCTGGTATTAAGTAAGCCTCCGATGTAATAGTTCCAAGATATCCAAGATGGCAGGTGAAGCAGAGTCCAATGGTAAAATTATAGTTTGTTCATTTATATCAATGCTATGTGGAATTTGACGTATTCACAGTATCAACAAAAGAATGGTTAAAGAGCAGCTTCATTACATGCATAAACATTACACCTGTGGAGATATAAAGTAGGCATCATTACCCTATTCTGCACAGATCTGCTGCAGAATTTTCTGCTGCATTCACACATCCACTCACCCTGATTTTAGCTGAATTTCGGGGGGAGGGGGGGATTTTGCCATTTGCATACACATACATTCTTTTTGGGGGGGGGGATGAATTAAATGCCTCTGATAGAACTGACAAAGAGTATACTATTAGAACTCAAAATCCTCTTAACACAAATGTTTTACAGTCAGGGACGACTCCATATGAGCACCAGACTCTCTTTGGCCTAATTTGAATCCACACTGTGCACAGAGGACAGGCACAAAAAGTATTTTTTAGGCAAAATAATTGAGTGAAATTTCAGAGATTTGCATCACAGATGGTGTCTGTAAACTTTTTTTAACCGTCCTCAATCAGTTTCATCTCTTCCCTACAGTCCTCTCTACTTCTTAATATCCCTGAAACAAACAAACAGAAAAAGTCTTGTGTTTTTTTTAAATTTCACCATGTTGGCAGGACTTTGTCTGTCTGAGTGTCTCTTAGTCATGGCCGATGAAGGGATTGTGGGGGCCATCTGTCGGAGGGTGAACTCACTGTCAGAGCTGGAGCCAGGCGAGCTCAGGCAACTTCCTTTTGTTCTGATTAGCAGATAAGTTTGCTCTACACAGGAAACAAGCGATACAAACGCACAATTGTTCCTCTGTGGTAACGAGCTGAGCTTCCTCTCTTTCTTTCTCAGTAAATATACACTTCCTGTATAGCCCTTAGCACAGGAAGGGTATGCTATTTTCAACCTGCAGAGAAGGTGCTGAAACTGTCTGCTTCAGTGTGTTGGTGTTTTAAGGTTTGATGTTTCATGAGCCATACCGATCACCCCTCCCCAATGGTTATCTGATCCTGCTAGTTTACCATCAATATGTTGAATACCTTTAATAATAATTATTGTTATTTAAAGGCACCTTTCAAAGCACTCAAGCCGATATGGGATTTTTGTGTCCGATACCGATATTGATATTGGTGAGAGAAAAAATCTGATACCGATATATCGGCCGATATCTTTCTGAGCTCTATCTTCGATCTGTAGAGAATGATAGATATAGATATACACATTTATTGTGTTGATCCCTCAAATGCACTTCATCAAACACTTGTGATATATAATGAGGAAAAGATGGTGACTCAGCTGGAAAGTAACTGCTCACATCCAGCATCACCACTTGACACCGCTTGAGAGCGATGATGCTTGTTGTAATCCATACAGCGCCCTCTGCAGGTGAAAGAAACTGCTAGTTTTATACAATGAAACTCAAATTAAATGCTATTTGATTGCTGAATGAATCTATTAATATCAGTGCATATCTGCGATAAAATGAGCAGATACCGATAGTCACTGGATATGCTAATATCGGCCAATATAATCGGCTGGCCGATTAATTGGTCGTGCTCTGATAAAAACAACAAAGTAACAATGCATGGATAAAATTAAACATTAAACGACAAATTTAAAGTGTATAAAAATCATGTAGAGGATTAATGAGACAGGATGGAGAATGAACAGAACATGGCAGTTTAAAAAGATGTGTTTTTAGATTAGATTTATAAATGGAGAGAGAGTCATTATTATGGAGGCGGGCGGGTGGTGCAGTGAGTTGAATGGAAGAAGAAGACCTGAGAGTGCAGGTGTGTTTGTATGCAGGAGTTCAGAGAGGTAAAGCGGAGTGAGGTTATGGATGATCTTAAAGCTGAGGAGCAGAATCTTGAAGTCAATGCGGTGTTTAACTGTGAGCCGATGAAGCTGCTGACTGACAGCAGTGATGTGATTAATGGAGGAGGATCTGGAGATGATACGAGCAGAAGAGTTCTGGACCAGTTGAAGAAGTTTGTGGGTTTGGACTTTACTGCCGATAGATACCTGTTCAGAGTCTCAAATGAAAAGAGAATGAAAGAAATGTGAAAGTAATATTTAAAATATATAATTTATTTTAAACAAATTCAGAGGCAGAAAAGTTTTCCTGATCACTGGAAAGTTTATGCATGTTATCTCCATTATTTAAATACTGCAGCACAGTTACCACCAACTCCTAACAGACTGTAAGGTTTCCACTGCGTGTGGCTATTAGCACCTGTTTTTATGAATCAGAGATTTTTGCATTGACACCGTTTTCCACTCTGGGGCCACGTTTTCCCAGACAACTGCATAATGGCTCATTAAAATACGCTCGGCAGCACTGACCCACGTGGATGCTGTTTGCTCTGCTGCACAGTTACGGGGCTTTGCGTATGTTTTTTGTGAATCACAAAAAGTCTGTTTATCAGGCAAAAAAGCTGTGCAATCCTTTTGTGGATCAGGCCCCTCAGAGTGAAGTGGAAACAGTTCCTGTGCTCCGTTACTGAAGCCGAGTTTCTGCCTCTAGTCTCAGCCTCCTCACTTGTTTACAGCCGATGAAAAGCATTGATTTGTTGATACTCTTCAGTGTCTAGGAGACTGCTTCCCCTGCAACCAGCCAGTCCCTCTAATTAAATTCTTATTAGATAATGGGCATAGGGAGAAAGTGAGAGAGGGGGCAGAGCAAGAGAGAGTGAGAGAGTAGAGGGAGGGCTGGCAATTGCCGGCGCCATTCTTTCGTTATCGCTCTCAAGCAGATGGGATAATTACTGCTGCTGCACCCAGCGGGCACACGGCGGGTCAAACACACACTCATGAATACAGGCAGACACACACACACACACACACACACACACACACACACACACACACACACACACACACACCTCAAACACAGGACTCTGACATGTTTACATAAACAACAGCCTGAATCAACTGCTCATATATTCCTACACACACTTGACCAAGATGTCACATGAAAATCACGATCACAGTGTTCAACAAGTGGCACACATTTATTATTTATATATACTGTACATGTATCATTAATCATTATTTAATACTGTGTATCAGGAAGCCCTGTTAGGTGTGATTCAACATAAACTACCATTCAGACAATAATATGAAACAGATATGTGATGAACTGTTTGGGATGTAAAAACAGTAAAAACATATCAGACTGAACTTCACAGATGAAACATTAGGATAACCAACAATTCTACAATTCACTTAGCAGACGCTTTTATCCAAAGCGACGTACATCAGAGAGTAAGTACAACACAAGCAAGGATCTAGAAAAAAAGGGAACAATGTCATAAGAGCAAACAATCAGCTTTGAGTCTGATTGGACACACAGGTGCTGACAGGAAGTGACCAGAGGCAAAGCACAACATTGACGGCAGTTCTTGAGAGCTCTAATCAGTATAGAAATCATCAAATAAGTCATCGTTATCAAACAAAAACCATTGTCATTACCATCATCATCATCATCAATAATATGGAGACCATCATCATTAAGTTAGTAGGTATTCATGAAAGAGCTGGGTCTTTAGCTTTTTCTTAAAGGTGCAGAGGGACTGGAGTTTGGAAGTTCATTCCACCACCGGGGTGCAACAGAGGAGAAGAGTCTAGTCAGAGACTTGTTGTGTCTTACATAGTCAACAGTGAGTTCCTGCCCTGTTGTGAATGTTGGATCAGACGCCTTTCATTGGCAGAGCGTAGTGGGCGGGAGGGAGTGTAGACCTGGATGAGAGCATTAAAGTAAGGAGGAGCTGTTTTTGTTGCTGTTTTGTAAGCGAGCAGCAGAGTTTTAAATTTGAAAGCAAAGCATGGAAAAAAAAGAAGTCATGACATCATACCAAAGCATGCAAAGTGCAGATAAATACAAGAGCCCTTGAGGAGAAAGGAAACACGATACTTCAAACCTGAAAAACAAAGAACATACAACAAGTTAGCTGAACTGTTGTGGTTTAAAGATTGATGGTTCAATTCAGATGAATGAACAAAAAAAAAAGCATGTGTTTACTTATGAGCCTTCAAAAAGAACCATTGAATCCAAACATCATTATTTACACAGCGCCAATTCATAACAAGTGTTACCTCGAGACGCTTTACAAAAAGAGCAGATGGCATAATATGGAGGAAGGATTCCTCATTTGTATTCCTCGCGTTCCTGTTGTCCACACTTCCTCCCCACAGGAGGTGGAGGTGGGAGCAGGCCGTGCATGAATGAGGACGGCGGTGGTTGTGGAGGAAGGACACATATCTCATTTGTCTTTGTTTCCATTTCTCCATCGCTCATTATTTTAGTTTGTTATCCTCTTGTCTCAAGTTTCATGCTCCTCAACTTGTTGAAAAATAGAAATGGAGAAAAAAAACATGAACTGAGAGTCTTATAAGATGTTGAACTTTTGCAATCCTACAAGTCCTGTCGTTACATATACATATGAGTGTATATCTTAAAAGATGAACATAACACAACCTGAACATGTTTTCCTCCAGTGTTTTAAGTTTTGACTTGAGTGAATTGAAGCTTGGGATCGACCCCTCTGTGTCCGCTCTCTAAAGCTTTCAGTGATGCTGCCTGTGATCAGAGTGTAAATAGTGATGCTTTGCTACTCTATATATCTCTGGAAAACACTTTTAAAGTAACCGCATGTGTTGATAGAGGCTGTGAGCCTGTGTAGGAACATTTGGTTTTATAGTCTGGAGTCTCTGGCTGTCTGTCTGATGATGTTTAATGAGTGTCATTAACCCGTTTTTTACACAGAGATGGGGTGTAATTCATTTCGGAGGCATTCTTACAGCCCTCGACGGAGACGCTACAACTGTTCCCCCGTCTTTTTAATCTCTGTTTCTGGAAGCCGTTCACCCTTAAAGATTTGATTCATACGATTGACTTATGCGTTTACAAGCAGGCGTCCGTTTGCTGCAGATGTAGATCCTGCTGCTGATCAGCCCATCAGTTGTTCTTTAAGGATCGGAGGAAGCCATGCTCTAAATCTTAGTTTAGCGTGTTTGAATGTTCCACCATCAGGTCGACACTTTGTCATTATTTCACGTTTTATGGCATTGAGTAAGTGTGCAGGCTCTTCTTCTTGGTGCAAAGAAATCCACTTCGATGATCCTTTGACCTTTCCTCTGGCTCCCTAACTCACGGCATCTATCCAGCAAGACATCGCAATATCTGCTGGATGCATTTGTTCTCCATTAAGTGCACACATTGGTGTTCCAGTGTGCGATAGAACAGAATAGAAGTTTATTTATAAAGCACATTTCAATACAGGTAAGCTCAATGTGCTTTACATTGAAGATTTAAAAAAAAAAAACGAAAAACATAAGAATACGAGAGACAAAATAGCTGTCAACAATCATGAAAATGATTCAAAAATCAGATTATGGACAACAACAGTACCAAAACAAAACACTTACACATACCCACATATACACCCAAGAGTAATGACTTGCTTGGTGGAAAAGGGGTATAATATGTCCTCTTTAAAACCAGTCAGTAAAGGAAGCAGATGCTTCATTAAAATGTACACTTTTTCAAATGACTGGTTCACAACAGATAAAGCTCTGTGGTCTGTTTCACCAGTTCGGTAGAAGTTCAGTCTGAAGTCAGGGTGTCAAATCCACACTTAACTTAGTGCTTGAGAGAACAGATAGGTTTTGAGTTTGGCTTTGAAAGTAGAGATAGTTGTAACAGTAACTGAAGGCCCCCTCACCGCGATGATTTGCAATAAAATGAATGATAAAGATCAATACATTTCACAAGAGTCTTGCACCATATAGTATCATGAAAAACATCCCTCAACACTGCCATGCTTACAAAACAAAAACGTTACACATCTCTGCAATATCATACTTACCTCTGCTTATGCAACCGCGAGCGCTAAGAATCATTGCAATCTTTTGACCTCTTATTTTGACACTCCAGAAACACTGCAGGATTAATAAGAAGGCTGGGGCTCTGTTCTGCATGTTTTATTTCTTTGTGAATAGCCTGAGTAGATCATTCTTGGTGTTCTGCATTCTCCGTTTTAAGATGTTTAAAGTCACTTTTTATGCAAGGGCTGTTCATGAAATTCTTGTCCTGGAAATGTCTCAACAATGTACAGTTAGGTTATTATCTGTGAGTGCATAGAAAGGTCACATGCATGCAAGGAACTGAATGCTTTGGTTTGACTTCTTGGGTTACAAGTTTTTCCATTATGTGAAAGCTAAAGCAGTGGTTAAATGCTGTCTGTAATGAGGGAAAACCCCCTGTAATGTGTGCGTTTAAAAGCCTTTCTGTCCTCTGATTGCAGGATCTGTAGGCAGGAACTTGGCCAACAAGCCCAATGTGTACGTATCCAGCAGCGCCGGAGCCCGCTGGAAGGAGGTCAGTCCAAAATCTGACACAAGATGACAAGAAAAACACAGCTTGTAAAACTGAGTCACAATCAATTCATCGTCTACAGACATTTCTGAGCTAACTGTATATTTATCCTGGCTGTATGGACCTTTATGCTCTTTTTGCTACGGCTCACCTTTTTCTATGCTTAGCATCTAAAAAGAGCAAAACCAGAGCATCGATACAGTTTACATTGAACCACCTCTAGAATCCTGTTTCAAGAGCTGTATGTAGAGCTAAATGACCTGTTAGCTTTTTGCTCCTGATAGTTCCTTTACGATGCTTTTTGTTGTGCAGGCTCTTGCAGGCCCTTACTTCTTCACATGGGGAGACCACGGCGGCATCCTGATGGCCATCCCACAGGGAGGAGCCACAACACACCTCAAGTGAGTCCAAATGACCTGAACAAATGCTCCTCCAGGACAACAATAACAATCACTTTATAGCTGTCTATACTCTAGCTATCCTTCTGTTGGTTCCTCCGAAATGAACATTTTCAAACATTAGACCTGGAGACGCTGTTTTTATGACTTGAAGCACCTCACAGTGTGCAAATAAAGAAAAATATATTGATGTATGTCCTCTTAGGGCTTCTGTATTTTGGTGTTCTGACTCAACAGGTTTGCCTTATTTGATTATTGAGCTCAGACAAATCCTTAAGGATATATTTAAATCATATGTTAATTATTTCAACATGCTTCTCTTTGTTTTTAATGGTGTCTTTTAACCCCCCTACACTATTAATGCATCACACTGAAATCAAATCAATCCATTTTTTATAACTCAGTTATATTCCAATTTATATTGCTGGTAAACGTCCATATGACCATCTTAAACTGTTGTTTTTTTTAAGCATCTTCCTTCCTGCATGAAAAAAAAATTCTGGGGACTGAATTAAGCAAGAGAACACATACATGCAAAAAGACCAACAAAACCCATGAGAAACAGCTAAAATCTGTTCTTGCTTTCTATAAAAGACAGGTTACATTCTGTCCGTGTCCCCTGCAGGTTCAGCACTAATGAAGGCGAGACGTGGACGGACTTCAAGTTCTCCGACAGGGAGGTGTTTGTGTACCAGCTGCTGACTGAACCTGGGGAGAAGAGCACCATCTTCACCATCTTCGGCTCCTACGCTGACCAGAGACACAGCTGGCTCATCCTGCAGGTCAACACCTCCGACGTCCTAGGTAGGTTGGAATGTCAGAGGAAAGAGAGCATCAACAGCGGCCATCAGCTATTTATAAGATCACACCACAGCCTGAATCAGTCATGGACGTAGTCACCCGTTGGTTTCTGAAGCTGAATGATCGCCGTTGACATGTTGGAAATTCTATCTCTGAATTTTAATCGATCTAAAAACAGGCAAAGAAGTGGAGCTGAGGCGAGCCTTCAGCCTCCTGACAGCTACAACATGATCACCTGTCAGTCAACTCAGCCATCCCCCTTGTTATGCTAATGTGTGCATAACTCTTAGCCCATGTATAGTTTTTTCCAATACAGAATTAAGCTCTAGAGACCGACTTTTCAACGTGTCTGTTAACATGTTTATTTTATTGTAAAAAAAATTAATATGGGACATAATGGGGGTTCCTTGGCTTTTGCATACAGCCTCAAGTGGACATTTGAGGAACTGCAGCTTTTTGCACTTCTGCATTGGCTCTTGTTTTTGAACACCAGTGGTTGTGTTTTAGTTTAAACTTGAATGAAAGTAAACTTGCAGCTTTTATTTTTTTAATTTCAGCTCCCTTAAAAGATCTCAATGCACAAAATAATTTGAAAAGTAACTCTAAGTTAATTATTAATGTCAGATATCTAAAGCATTTTCTTCTTTTGGTTTTCCTTCAGGTGTGCCGTGTTCAGAGGCCGACTACAAGCGCTGGTCCCCGTCAGACGAGCACGGTAACGACTGTTTGCTGGGCAGAGAGATAACGTTTAAGAGACGAGCTCCTCACGCTACGTGTTTTAACGGAGAGGACTTCGACCGGCCAGTCACCATCTCTAACTGCTCCTGCACCCGGCAGGACTACGAGTGGTGAGAGACACACTGATGCACAAGACATCCACATATGTCACATATACATAGGTCATAAATGCTTTTTGTTGTTGTCTTGGTTGTTTGATGATAAGTGTTCAATGGGACATATTTTGAATAATCCACTTTTCCATTGTTTTTTAACATATATTCGGGTAACCCTGATGACCCTTCCTGTCCTTTGTTTGTGGTCTGAACAAATCTTAAAAAATGAGAAAAATGCTCCGTTTCAAATGTGCTCTCCTCCGTCACAGTGGGATTCTGGTAAACCAAAGCACAGCACAGATGTTTCATTTAGACCACAGGGGACTGTTTTAAAAGGTGGAAAAGGGGTATAATATGTCCTCTTTAAAACCAGTCAGTAAAGGAAGCAGATGTTTCATTAAAATGTACACTTTTTCAAATGACTGGTTCACAACAGATAAAGCTCTGTGGTCTGTTTCACCAGTTCAGTAGAAGTTCAGTCTGAAGTCAGGGTGTCAAATCCACACTTAACTTAGTTGTGCCATTGATTGGTTACCATGGTGACGTATGGTTCAACTTGAAGGGTAGCGTGAGAGTCCATACTAACCAATATATTGGATACCCCTTGACTTCATGTGACCAATCAGTGAGCAGCATTTTTCTTATTTCAGTGTGGGGGAACAAGGGGCTGACAAACTTTAAACCACAGCAGTCGAGATTTGCCCTTTCAGGGAAACCTCCCTGAAAGGGCCCCATCTGACAGCCCTCCCTCTTGTTGCCCTGCTAAGTGTGGCATGCATTTTTGCTTTGAACATTAACATGTTCAATGAAAGTCACCAAAGGAAAATGAAAATGAATTATCTGTCTGGCAGAGAAAGCGACAGACGAGTAAATGTCGGGAAACGGCCAGACAAAATGGTGATGAACACTAGCTGGAGGGGCCCCAAATGATTTGTTGCCTAGGGCCCCAACGGACTCTAGAATCACCACTGACTAGAAGTGATAACGAGCGTGCTTTAATAGAGTTGTGGGACGTATTTTCTTGTAATTATGGTTCATTTTTTTTAAAGAACTCTGGAAACAGCTCCCCAAAGCCTGATTTGATGAAACTGGTTCTACCCGGGGATTTCCTGCTATTTTAGAGGTTTCCCATGAGACCAATATCATCATGCCTTCTTTGTCTGCTGAAATAATTTGCACTAATGTTTTTGATATAGTATTTATGGACATGGTAGAATCACCCCAAGATAGTAATTAAAGACCAACTCAGTTCTTTTTTTGTAATTACTAGAGGTCCCCAGGTTGACATTAGTCCCGTGTAAATGAGAATAACTTGAACATAAAAGTTAGATTTAAAAATCTTTGATCAGTAGCTCCAGTGTGAGTAAGATTTCTTTCATATGAGGAGGTAGATGCAGCTGTGTGCCTGACTCTTAATTAAATCCACTTCTGACAGACCACGACGTCAGATTCAGCCGTTGCTGCACATTTTTTAACGCTCCTGGAGCTCCCATCACAGCTCATAATGAGCCTGTTTTAAAATGCACGTCAGGTGCCGCCGTTAATCACCAGGGCAGAAGCTAACCGGCTTGTTTTTCTTTCTTCCCTTTCCCCACCTGTCTTTCTCCCTCCTCCTTCCTCTTTCTCCTCTCAGTGACTACGGCTTCAAGCTGAGTGAAGACTTGTCTCTGCAGGTGTGTGTGCCTGACCCTGAGTTTGTAGGTGACCTTTACGCTCCTCCAGTGCCGTGTCCTGTCGGCACCACGTACCGCCGCAGCAAAGGGTGAGCTGTTACTCCCTGACATCATATTTCAAAAAAATGTGCAACCTGAGATTCTGCCTGGTTTATTAGCATAATGTTGGCATCTGCTGCATTCATTTTTCATCCAGTTTTATTCACCATTTGCCCAGTTTTCTTGAATATATTCAAGTCATGGGCATCTCTTAATTGCCATGTTTAATGACCAGATGGGCTCTAAATCAGCCTCATGCCCCCAATATTAAATAACTTTTAAGTTTAAACTACAGTCTTTGCTACTTAGCTTTTAGGCCTTGTAGAAACTGAAGGATAAAACGCCTTTTTAACAAGCTGTGTCTGAGGGTTAATGAAGATGACTGGATTGTTAGTAACTCTGTAAGAAGTCTCTGCTATTAAAGGAACAGCAGTTTACAGAGTCAAAGTACCAGATGAGGATTGATATATATCAATATATAAAAGTCTTGCAGAAAGTATAGCTGAATCAAAACTTACAAAGAGATGTCTTCACCTAAAGATGGAGTTGTTAAATCAATACAGCTAGTATGCAAGTGACCAGTTTTAAAGGGTAGTTTGGTATAGGAATGTTTTTTATTTTATTTTCCAAAAGCTATGCTAAGTAAACGCATAAACATTCATGCTTGAGTAAAACAAGTCACTATAAGTTACTTCACTTCTGCTACCAGATCATTCAAGCAGTATGAAGGAGGTTTAAAGTAGGATTATTTGTGTTCTAAAGTTGGTTAAATCTATATTTTATGGACAATACAAAATAAAAAAAACATGTCTTCCTGAGGAGAGTTCAAATGTAAAGATATAGCATCATTTTAGTTTTATTTATTTCTGTCATAAAACTGCAGAGCTGTTCAAAGTTAAAAAAAAAAAAGTCAGACTGAAACCTGAACTGGAAGTGAAGAATTTCATTTTCTTGTTTTTTAAATGTTTCTGTTCCTTCTTTTTCTTTTGAACCTTTAAAGTCTTTTTTGTCACATTTTTGCACTTTTTTTCTGTCTCTTCTAATTTAAAAAGCTGACTTCAGCTGAGAATCCCCCTTTCTCTTTGATTTGTCACTGCTACGGTGATAAAGTCATGTTGCTGTGATCAGATGTTTAATGTTAGAGCACCACCTAGTGGTCTAACTGAGTACCCGTCCTGTTCCTCTTGCAGCTACAGGAAGGTACCAGGCGACAGCTGCAGTGGAGGAGATGTGGAGTCCAGACTGGACGGAGAGATGCTGCCATGTCCGGTCGGAGGTAAACCTGCGACCATCAGATGATCCCTACAGTTATGAATGTGTCTGAAAATAAGATCTGGAAGATACATCATACCTTTTATATAGCAGAGTATTTTTAAAGAAACATCAATATAATTAACTGAACTAGTTAAAGTCTCTAGACCAATATGATTTATTCTAAGCTTAGTTTAGTAGACAGGTTAGTACAGACATATTATTAGAGTAGACTAAACCCACAGTAAGCATGGGAAAACTGTTCAATGTGTGTCTGAGGGGACAAAAGCTAAATTTGCAAAAGTAGGGGAACATAAGAAGACATTTCTTAAGTATCCAGAAAAGGTGGAATGCACCCCATAGTGCCCGAAGCAAGCTGCCTCTTCCAGTGCTTTTTGCAGATATTTAAATTTAATTGTATCCCTGCATTTTGTGGAAAAACTGCATCCTCTCTCTTAAAATATGCCTCACTGCAGAAAAAGTCCAGTTAAGAGATAAGATAAGATGATCCTTTATTTATCCCACAACGGGGAACTTTACGGTGTTACAGCAGCAAAGAGCAAAGATTGCAAACAGAAAGTGAACACAGTACACAATTTAAATAAAAAAAATAAAAAATAAAAATGTACAAAAAATAGAAAGATAGCACAACATAGATTTTAGAAAATAGATTTTAAAAAAAGTTCATAGTTGACAAACAGCGCTATCTGAACTGGTACCTCCTGCAGAAGTAGAGACTGGAGGTGCAAGGCATACATGAGAAAATGAAACTCTGCTGCGTAGCTCAATTGTCATTTTTGCAAGAGAACATCATGACTACAGTTTTTTTTTTTTGTAAATTGAATCGTAAGACACAGAAGTGGAAAATGTAACGCAGTTCTTGGTGCTTGCTATACATGGTCACATTGAGTTCTGGTGAAAACCCACCCGAGTGTCTCATCTGTCCGTCGTGTCTCCTGTACTTTCTCAGAGAGTAATGAGTTCATCCTGTACGCGGTGAGGAACTCCATCCATCGATACGACCTGGCCACAGGAGCAGACCAAGTCCTACCTCTGGCCGGACTCAGAGAGGCCGTGGCTCTGGACTTTGACTACGACAGGAACTGCCTGTACTGGGCTGACATCTCTCTGGACACCATACAGGTGAGTGAGAAGCTTCTCCTGCAGGACACTTTTCTTTGAAGTTCAGGAGCTCTTGTTACTGTTTATAGAATGATATGTAAGATTTACCTGCCTCTCTCTGACCTCTCTCCTGCAGCGCCTGTGTCTGAACGGCAGCACGGGTCAGGAGGTCGTCGTCAGGAAAGATCTGCAGAACGTGGAAGCTCTTACCTTTGATCCCGTCAGCAGGCTGCTGTACTGGGTCGATGCTGGAGCGCAGAAGATTGAGGTATTTAAGCACTGTATAGGACTCAGGATACCATATGGTAGATATACATGTGCTGCTGTGGACACATCGGCAGCCTGTTCTTTAAACAAGGTTGAATGGTATTCATTGGTGATGATCCTGTTAATACATTACATCTCTTAAATAGAAGAGAAACTTAAATATGTGCCCTTTAGGAGCACTCTGTCATTTTTATGTTGAGGTTGTGAGTCTGTGAGGTTATTATGGACCTCTTAAAGGTTCATAATGATCACTCCATGTTGATGAAGTGTGCATCCTCTGTGAGATACCTTTGGAGTGTCACAGGAGGTCGTTTCAAGCAGCTGCAGTGGTTATTCATGCTTAATCACCGCTTGTGGACGCCAGCTAAGGCAGGGACCATGGACTGGCCTGGTACATAAACAAATACATCTGATTAGTTAAAGTCCTCATGGGCACACACTGTACGGGGGATGATTTTGATTTGATGAACGATAAGTGTTAGCCATAGTTAGGCGCGTAGCTGACATGATTGACAGGTGGGCGTGATGTAATGGTTTGTCAGGAGGAGGCTGAGACAGGATTTCCAGCATGGCGGCTGCTGCCGATAAGCCTCTGGCGCCCCCTGTCAAAACAGATGGGTGACTTCACTCAGGCTTCGTCCATTAATATTTACAGTCTAAGTCATGTTTCAATACATGACCCTTCCATCTGTATTTATACCTTTTTGAATTATTCTTCATATTTTAATGACATCTAACTTTTATCTTTTATTTTAGTGTTGTTAATGGATTGAATAGCTCTGCAAAGATTGATGAAAAAAGTCTTGAGTTCTGCCTCAAAAAGGTTTTTCCATCATCTGTAATAGTTGTGCTCCATACTTTCTTACTGTTTGTAAATTGTTCAAAGTAAAGTGAGTGAGCAGGCATTTGGGCTTGTGTCATATGTGTGTCTCTTCAATAACTTCATGTCTTTGTTATTTTATTTTTTTAAATCTTCAATTGATGAAGCTCTGAAAAGTATTCTCTTCACTTTTGAAGGTGTCTAACCCTGACGGCGACCTGCGTCACACTCTGCTCAACTCGTCCGTCCTGGAGCATCCCCGAGCTCTGGTTCTGCTGCCTGGAGAGAGGTAACAAACATCTCTCTTTCTAACAGCTGTGTTAGTGTTTCTACACCGCAGGTCACTCCTACACGTTCACTCACTGAGGGCAAAGTGACCATCAGAAATAACTAATCTCATCATACACACTCATATGCTGCTTTCACCAGTTGATTGATCTTTAATTTAAGGATTCAACATAGAAAAAAAAACAAGACTTTGTCATTTTAGTAAAAAAAAAAAAAAAAAGACAAAATGCAGACACTTTTAAATTCTAAAAGTCAAAGAAAAGATAAAACTTCCAGTATGCATGAACATCATTCACGCTGTTGTGGTGAGTACACTAACGATTGAGGCTTTAACCTCCACAGCTGTTTGGCTAACCCAGACTTTAACCTCCTTTCACTGAAACTTTCAACTCAACCCCACCACATGCCTTTGAGGAAGCGATGACCAGACTAAAAGTTCTCACACAAACTCACATGCACTATAACCAAGCCAGTTTCACTTCTGCAAACAGAACTTCTGCTTTTCTTCAAGATGAGTTCAGCTGAGTAACTCCTCTATGGTATTCATGTTTATCTGTATAGTCTTTGTTTCACCATCATTCCTCTTTTCTTTATCCACAAAATTCACTTATTTTCAGCCTCATGTCACCTGCTTCCTCTTCCTCTTCCTCTCCAGTATAGTGTCTCATATTCCATGCACAGAGCTTATGAATTGAAACTCCATGTACAATACAAAGGTTTCTAGTTCAAGTGTTTTATGCTTTTATGAATAACTGTAGAGCTGGGTGAGGTGATTTAAATAATATGTAAGATAAACTTTGGTCTTGATATGAACAGATCTAACAGTGAAAGTAAACAACAAAACAGCCAGTCTGAAGATTAAGCCTGAAAAACAGGTGGGAAAACATTTCCAGCCCGATTCTTACTTACTGTGCAGCTCGTATCACCGTGTCTTTGTAAATGTACTGAAAGTAGTTTTATCTTATCTCATACATCTTCAAACCAAACAAAGGGTCACCTTTTGATCCAGTAGTACCAAAACAAGCTGCTGTGTGACACCTCGGCCACACTGAATCCTCCGCTCTCCTACAGCAACACACATCCAATCCCTCTCCCCTCAAGATTCAAGATTCAAGATTTTTATTTGTCACATGCTCATACAGATGTGCAGTGAAATGTAAAGACTGTTCCGCAAGGCCATGCAATAACACTCAAATTACTAATACACATAAATACAGTAAAATAGAAATATAATGTAAAATTTAAAAAAGAAATATTTGAATAAACAAAATATAGAATAATGTAAACAGTGTAAAGTGTCAGTGTGTAAAGTGTCCAGGGTATCAAAGTGCAATGTGCAGATTGGAGTGTGTGGTGTGTGTGCATCATGTAGGCACAGTTCTGTTTTTATTCATGAGGTGCTTTGTTTTTAACTGAGGAGAGTGGAATTAACAGTCCGGACAGCCTGAGGAAAGAAGCTCGCCTTTGCAAAAAGGAGTTATCAAATTGGAAGGCACCATAATGAAGCATTAAGCGCAAAATCGTCCCTGTCTCGAGCTGCATTGTTGTGTTAGCAGAGATTTATTTACAGAGGATAAACTGGATTTCTGCTGTATTTATGTGTAAAATGTCACACCTTCCTCCTTTAAGACAAAAAAACAAAGTCAAAGCTTAACTTTGTTGCAGCTCATCTTGAAGCCCCCAAAACACCATCAAAGAGCATGCAAGATATGTTTATTTATTTATTATTATTATTTTACCACTTATTAATTACTGGGTCTGTTTGTTTTCAAGAGATGGAATAACTTAACTTCCAGTGAAATATTCCTTGTGAAAGCTGAAGGAATGTTATAAACCATTAGCTAAGGTTGTAGCAGTAGCTCAGCTCCCAGCCCCTCCTGACCTGCTGTGTCTGATAAAGAGCGGGTAACAGATACTGAATTTAATGAAGAACTTTTTGATTAAGTGTTTTGACTGGTTTAATTTATCTTAATAAAATCAGAGAATACGTGGGTGAAAGGCAATGTCTATGTGTGTAAATAAACTGCACTCTAAAGATGTAAATGTATGTCTTTCTGTTAAATCCCTCTGTGTCGTTCCACAGTCTGATGTTCTGGACCGACTGGGGAGACCGAGCAGCCGGCATTTACCGGAGCTACATGGACGGATTCAATGTGTCCTGCATCGTGTCTGAAGGCGTCCGCTGGCCCAACGGGATCACAGCCGACGACCACTGGCTGTACTGGACCGAGGCGTACAGCGACCGCATTGAGAGAGCCGACTTCATGGGGGGCCAGAGGAGCGTTCTGATGGAGGGGCTGCCCCACCCGTACGCCATCGCTGTCTTCAAAGTGAGACCCAAACTCAAAGATATATTTACAAACTTTAAAATGCCTTGTCCTCTATTGGCTGACCCACACTACTTTATAGTAAACAAACATGAAGGACAGGAGGAACTGATATTTATCACGTTGAAATACCTTTTCTAGCTGGAGATGAGTAAAAATGAATTTGCTGTCGGTTTGATTCCCATTTGGCTATCGTTTCATTCACAATCATCGACAATCCACAGAGTCTCGGCTCGACTTTCCCTGGGGTTCTCCCCACTCAACAGGAAGTCGATGCAGCCCTGACATTCTTCATAGCTGATGGAATCACTCTAAACACATTTAAAAACATAGGAAATCTGACAAAATCATCTTTAGAACCATCAAAAAATCTGAACTTTGCTAACTGTTGTCTGAAAGGGGAAATCTGAACTAAATCTTCACGTTAACATTAACATTATTTTGGATGCTGTTCTTTCAGAATGACCTGTACTGGGACGACTGGTCCAGAATGGGAATCTTCAAAGCTCCTAAAGCCGGCTCCCAGAGCAACGAGCAGATCGTCGGCAGACTCACCGGAGTCATGGACCTCAAGATCTTCTATAAAGGGAAGAACAGAGGTGAGGAACAGAGAGTGCAGCGGAGTCTGAAAAGATTTGACAGAGCAGCAAAAATATCTGTGTGAAAATCTTTTTAGTAACAAGGAAAATAAAATTTGAGTTTGAGGTTTTATGCAAAAAAAAAAAAAAGAAGTTAATAGGAAGAATTGAGCCATCTCATTACTGCGTGCAGAGTTCTGAAACTGTTTTAAAACACACTGGATTTACAGGCGAGGGGATGTAGAAAGTCTACGATTGTTTAATACATTTTTTTTGATGTATGATTGAACGATACCAAAAGTTTAGTCTAATATTGCTAATGATGAAATTTGTGCAAATGTCTGTTGATCCTCATTAGGACATGGTCAAACTCTTACCTCCTGATTTTTTTGTCCACCAGGTCATAATGCCTGTGTGGACCAGCCGTGCAGTCTGCTGTGTCTGCCTCAGCCCGGACATCGTCACACCTGCGTCTGCCCAGACGGAGCACCGACTTTAACCATGCCCGATGGAGAGCTGCAGTGCCAGTGTCCCAGCGGCTACCAGCTCCAGAATAACACCTGCGTGAAGACCGGTGAGATAAACGCACCTACTTCAGAATCCAGATGGTCTCGTGTTGCAAATTAAATGATAATGTTGAAAATGACGTTTTTTAAAGAGATGCTCAGATGAATAATCTGTTGCATGAATTCTCTTTCCTCCTCATAGAGCACAGCTGTTTGCCCAACCAGTACCGCTGCTCTAACGGCCGCTGCATCAGCAGCATCTGGAAGTGCGACAGCGACAATGACTGTGGAGACATGAGTGATGAACAAGAGTGTCGTAAGTATTCAGCCTCATCAGATTTCTCATGAAAAATTGATCAAGTCTGTAGAGCGAGAATTAAATCTTTAGAGTTTAGCAAATTGTTTGTGCATGGCTCTTTCAACATTTGCATCAATCTGTGGAAGATTGCATAAATTTGTACATTTAGTTTTACTCTGTTTTCACTTGATCATGATGCTTAAACAACTTAAATCAACTTTCCTTTGATTTTCTATCTGATTTCATGAATTCTCCCATAACTGTACTGGTGAAAAAAGATAGTTATGACTGTTACAAAGACATCAAAGTAATGTAAAATAAATAAACAACAGACAATGTACAATATGAACCTTACCTGTTGAGACATAAACAAACAATAACCTGAAAGAAAACACAAATACCTTCAGTCCCTACTTATACCTCGGGGTGGTTGGACACCTGACCTCTTGTGGCCAAAATAAGTATTACAAAAACAACACCAACACACCCACATACAAATGCACCACACACAGATTTTTCACCTTTTATACTTCCCACCTTAACTGTTCCATAAAAAGAAATGTAGTATTTGTCACTCTTAGGAATAAAAGAACATCATGTATAAATGTTTGTCCTCGTCTGTGTCGTGTTCACCCTTCAGCCACTACGACCTGTGACCCATCAAACCAGTTCCGCTGCATGGCCTCAGGGTCCTGCATCCCTCTGGCCTTCAAGTGTGACCACGAAGATGACTGTGGAGACAACAGTGATGAAGAGCACTGTGGTAAGAAAACCCTGGGAGTTATGGAGGGTTTAATACATTTACTCTTCTTTATAAAGCTTTTCATTCAGAGAGTGAGAAAGTGTTTCTTACAGATCAAACATTAAGTAGTTACTCATCTGTGTGTGTGGGGTCTTAGTCATCCAGATCAGCGTAAATCGAAGCGAAATCCAAAAGGCGACTGGACTCGGTTGAAGATGCTACCCCTTTCATAGCCAAAGATATACATGTTGTTTGTGTAGTTAGATCAGCGACAGCACTGACTTTGAGTTTGATGCATTTCTCAGAGTCTCACCAGTGTGGCCCAGGAGAGTTCACGTGTGCACGAGGTGTTTGTATCCGTGAGGCGTGGCGCTGTGATGGAGACAACGACTGCAGAGACTGGTCTGATGAGGCCAACTGTACAGGTAAACACTATATCAGAAATCTGCTTTGTTTCAGATTAAATAGAATCACTGTAGAAGTTTTTGATTTTATATTCAATCATACAAGGAAGCAGAGAATGACTGGCAGGAAGAATCTCATCGTTTTGAAGGGGTTTCATTTGCATTTGTTTGAAATATTGTCTTTCACTTATTTAGTTTTTTTAATCTCTCTGTTTTTGTCCTAAGTGGGCCACCATACATGTGAGGCCAGCAGCTTCCAGTGTCACACGGGTCACTGTATACCACAGCGCTGGGTGTGTGATGGTGATGACGACTGCCAGGACGACTCTGATGAGGATCCCCAACATTGTAGTCAGTACACACACACACACACACACACACACACACACACACACACACACACACACACACACACACACACACACACAGAGTATTCACAGTACAGCAGAGTGTGTTACAATGACACTGTTGTGTGTGTGTGTGTGTGTGTGTGTGTGTGTGTGTGTGTGTGTGTGTGTGTGTGTGTGTGTGTGTGTGTGTGTGTGTGTGTGTGTGTGTGTGTGTGTGTGTTATATGATGTGTTGCAGGTTTGTATGTTTTCAGTTGACTTATTAATAAACATGGCATGCATTTATTTTCATCCTTTTACAAACTCTTGTGCTCTCTGGATTTCACAGTTCTGAAAGTGATATCGTCGTTTTCTGTGTGGTTTTCTTAGAAGGAACTCGCTGTAACGGCTTTCTCTGCTCCAATCACACCTGCCTTCCTGCCACTGCTCACTGCAACGGCATCCAGGAGTGTCCAGATGGCGCTGATGAGCACAATTGTGGTGCGTGATCCTGTTCGTTGAGCAGAAACAGATTAGTAATAAATCTGGAATGAAAAAAATCCTACCCCATCGAATTAACAGGGATGTGATTTATACAGATTCAACTTTGAATTCTGTATTTTCTGACTTAAAAGGTTGGCCCAGTAAACTTAAATTATCCATGAGCATGTTCATTGGTGTTCAGCTCAAAGTCAACCTGCTGATTTTAATGATCTTGATGATAAAACATGTTGATTTGTTTTGTCCACAGACCCGCTGTGTACCCGCTACATGGAGTTTGTGTGTAAGAACAGAGCTCAGTGTCTGTTCCAGTCTCTGGTTTGTGACGGGATCAAACACTGTGAGGACGGATCTGATGAGGACGCAGCGTACGCTGGATGTGGTGAGGAGCCCTAACATGTCTTAAGTCTATCACTGTATTGTCTTTGAGAAAGCTTTCTTATGATCAGCTGTTTTTCTTCTCCTTTTATCTCTGCCTCTAAAGCCTCTCAAGCCTCTCAAGCCTCTCAAGCTTAATATACCAAAGGGATTTGTATAACTCTCTAACATTCCTCTGTTTTTCTGTCAGCCACGCCCTCTGAGTTTGGTAAAGTGTGTGATGCCTACACCTTCCAGTGTGCCAACGGAGTGTGTGTGAGCCTGGAGTGGAAATGTGACGGCATGGATGACTGTGGTGATTACTCTGATGAAGCCAACTGTGGTGAGGAGGAGGAGTTGATGCAGAAATGCATGAATGATGTTTATTATTTAACCATCAAGAATACGTTGTTTGCACATATTTATACTCACTGTGGTTCCCTTTGATGATTTTAACTGTTGAACATAAGTGATAAAGTACAGATATATTAAGTTATGCTCCGTGTGTCGCAGCTGCTCCCACGGAGGTCCCCGGCTGCTCCAGGTATTTTCAGTACGAGTGCAGAAATGGTCGCTGTATTCCAACGTGGTGGAAGTGTGACGGAGAGAACGACTGTGGGGACTGGTCGGACGAGGCCCAGTGTACAGGTGCTCACTCTGTGATTAGGCTACCCGGTTGTCAAGAAACGAAGAGCAGATGTTGGAACAATTAAACCATATTATTATTTATGACAGCCTTTTGTTATCTCTTACAGCACATCATTTAAACACAACCTAACAGTAACAAGGGAACAAAGAATCCTCCCATCCTACCATCCTCAGCTTCACAATCTGCAGTTAAAGACAAAACAAAAAAGACAATAACCTTAAAAACGTTTACATTTGACTTTTGAAAAAAAAAAATCTATATATACCGGTATATATATTTTTTTGGGGGGGGGGGGGGGCTTTTTGTGCCTTTATTGTAGAGATAGGATAGTGGATAGAGTTGGAAATCAGGGAAATAAGTCATTTAGGATACCTTTCTGATAGAAAAGGACAGCTGTCATTAAAAGTAAGACATGAACACCAAGATTCCTTCAAGTGTTTGTGTTGGCGTCCGTCTGCCCGCACCTCCCCACCCCCCCAAAGCTGTAAACCTAGGGGAAACACTGGGCTTTTTATGCCTTTATTAGAGAGATACAGTAGGACAGAGAGAATGCTGGTAATGAAACGCGGGATAGGAGCTACAGTTTGAAATGATAAAATGTAACTTTCCCTGTGATTAATTGATGCTTCAGTGCTTGCAGGATGCTTTACTTTAAATGTTTTTTTTAATGTAATAGTTTTTAAACTTAAATTGGAAAAACTGACTTTTCATCTCCAGTCACTAAACTTCTTTTTTCTTCCTGAAGGTGGCGTTACTCCTCACACTGTAGCCCCTGGCCCCTCCACATGTGCCCCTAACCGCTTCCACTGTGGCTCTGGAGCCTGCATCATCAACACGTGGGTGTGTGACGGCTACGCTGACTGTCCTGACGGGAGCGACGAGCTGGGATGTCCCACAGGTAAACGTCTGTCTGCTGATGAGCGGAGATAAGTAGAAGCAGCAGCAGGATCATTTCTTTAATTGTACTTTGTCGATGGTATTTTTCTCTGAAGACTGCATCTGTTGGGATTTTAATTTTAGTTGACCAACCTGAATGAACATTTGTAAAAATCTACAAATAAACTGATAGAATAATTCACTTCAATCAAACAGTAACTTTTATCACAACTCTGTCAGCAGCTAACGGCTCTATGACGGTCGCTCCAGTACCCACCCATCCCGCTCCTCCCCCGCCCTCCCCCAGCCGGTGCAGTCGGGGTCAGTTCCAGTGTCGCAGACCCCCCCTCTGCATCCCCGACTGGCAGCGCTGTGACGGTCAGATCCACTGTCAGGACCGCTCTGATGAAGCCCAATGCCGTGAGTTCGTGAAAACAGTGCACCTGTGACACCATCACACACACAAAGACACACACAAAGACACACACACAAAGACACACACACAAAGACACACACAAAGACACACACTGATAACGATGATGAGGCTGTGCTGTTGTGGTGAATTACTGTGGATTCAACAAACTGATCAATCTGATAAACTGAACCTTTCATTGTAAAATATGAGATCATGCTGCACCTTAAAACCAGCTAAATCCTTACTCACACAGTATTAGTATTACCTGGAGGTCTCTGCTTATCTGGTAATATAACACCAACTGTCAGTGTTTGGTGCGGTGTATTTTGCACTGGATGAACAGAGTCTGTCATTTACTCAAATGTACTGATGTTTCGAGGTGCTGCATGTCCTCCACCGTGTCTCTGGGGTCAGAAACAAGGTGGAGGACTTCAAGACAAAGATTAGAACTTAAGGTCATATACAGTTTACAAGTTACCACACAATAACACAGTTTGTATTGAGCCCAGCACTAGCTCCCCCCCTCCCCCCTCGGTTCTCAATATTTGGAGGTCTTGATTGGAAAGTGGCTGGATTGTTGATTTCGTGGTTTCTTAACAACAATGAATTAAGTACTGTGCTCTAATTATTTTTTAACTCTATACATAAAGGCAACTTAGTGCAATTTTTCATGTGACAATGCATTGATGCTCGCAAACCATTGGCACTATAAAGACATTTGATTTGAGCAGGAAAGTAAAATGTTCCATGTCCACATGTGGAAGTCATCCATCTTGTCACTCCTCGATATCTGGTTTAGTTTGCTCTTGCTGCGAATGTGTCTCCATACTGTGTAGCATTATGAGCCTGCTGAGTTTGCACCCAAAGTGATGTGGAAACCTTTGCTAACAATGTTCAGCGAAGCCTCCAGTTTACTAATCAAGGGCAAATAGGGCTTGAGATTTGGTTTTGTTGACAACAAGTCAGAATTACCGAAAAGGGTGAAGTCGCGCAGTTTCAATCTGAACACAAGATCTGAGCTTCAAATAGCATTGTGTAAAGTGACACCATGACGTAGTCTTTTGCAAAAGCTAGGGCGTCAGTCTTTTATTTAGTACAGCTACACATTTGTTGATGATGTCATAATGGAGAAGCTCCTGTAAACACACAGGCTGCAGGTTTCTGTTTGCATATTCTTCTGTGAATTGATCCGTATTTTAAGAACACAATTGATAGAGCATCTTGCACAAGACTAAGACCGAGACTGACGTCCTTTTTTTTTTCATTGTCGGTATTAAATACAATTTTATTTAGTGACTCTTAATTAATGACATGAATTAAACTCTAACATTTTAGTAATATTTGTCAGTGCAAACAGAAATAGTGAGGGTTGTTTAGATGTATTCCAGTAACACGGAGTGATTTAAACCCTTTGTCTGTCTGCAGCCACTCGTGGTCCTCTGTCTTGTGTTAACGGGACTCGCTGCTCCGATGGAGAGGCCTGCGTGCTGGACGGTGAGAGGTGTGACGGTTTCCTGGACTGCTCCGACCACAGTGACGAGGACAACTGCACCCGTAGGTCCCAGTCCCCGATTCTCTAATAACAACCAAAATGTGTTTAGTTCATGTGCAAGATGAGAGGATTAAATGACTTAATAATATCAGCTGTAAAAAAAAACATCTACCTCCAGATCCATTGGAAATCCTGGAAGGTAACTTGATTATTTTGACAGCAGTGTAATACTGCCCCCTGCTGGCTCTCTGTGTTTATTTCAGGCTTGTTACAATCCATAAAAAATCTGTTTCTCTCTTTGTCCCAGTCGATTCTCTGGCCTATAAAGTCCAGAACCTCCAGTGGACACGGGACTTCCTGGGTGCCATCACCTTGACCTGGTCTCGCCCCAAAAGCCTTCCTCTAGACTCCTGTTACTTCCTGGTTTACTACAGGTGAGACATTCTGCAACTTCATCATGTTGTTTTCCTTATAAATTGGTTAAACATTTTTCTTGGCATAATCTGTTCCACCCTGCAGTTACACAGACGCCACTGTTCGACACTCATCAAAACCAGTTTCTATTAAGGACTTGGTTCCACGTTTTTCAAAACCTGAAATTTAGTAACATTTCAGCTTTACAACACCGCGAACGAGTCTCATTGGTTCTACAATGAAACGTTATATCTCAAGTCATGTCCCGTCATGTAAAGGTCACATACTAAACTCTTTTTCAGCCAGTTTGAATTACTGTCAGAGCTCCCCAAAACATGTCTGTGAAGTTTCTTGTTAAAAATCCACCCTCAAACTCCTTCGACTCCAGCAGCTGCTGGGACAGTCGTCCTGCCCAGCTTAAAGCAGACCTGGGGAAGAACATCTAAACTTTGAAGCAAGTCCCGTTAATTAAAACAATCCAATTTTAGAAATCTGTGTTGAAATCAGAAGGATGAAGGCTAGTTACCTAAATAAATGAGGTGACGTGAGATAAACGTTAAAATTGTATTCATAATCTGTTCAAATGTAACGTCAAGAAACAGAAAACTTCAGTTTTGGAGAGAAACTTGAATAATTACAGCTGTTTGGAGGAGAACTAGGTTTGTTTTCTCAGAAATATAAAATTGATTTTAAAGATGTTTAATATCTTTTCTTATATATATTACTACCTGTTTAACTTTCTAGCACAAGCTCTAATCACCTAATGATGCATCAATAACACTACTGATACAAAGAGATATAGAATAGATTTTTTCCCTTGTCAGTACACATAGTTATCTCTTCTTTCCTCCAAATAATAAAACAGTATCAACAGTGGTATCGACAAGGACTCGGATCGTTAAGGAGTCTCGATAATGATATCAATGTGATTAAAAAAATTAAAGATCCCCATCCCAAGTCATGTTTCCATGATGTGACCCACATTGTGTTTTTTTGTTTTTGTTGTTTTTTAGGCTGGTGGGCACCCAGCAGTGGACCATCATGGACACCCACAGCAACAAGACCATCTACCAGCTGACGGTGTTGAAACCGGACACCACCTACCAAGTCAAGGTGCTCACTCAGTGTCTCAGCAAGCTGCACAAGACCAACGAGATGATCACAGTCAGGACGCCAGAGGGATGTGAGTATCAGTATTTATAGAGTTTACATCAACGCCAACACTTTTATGATTTCCATTGCATTCAGCAAAGTCAACACCATACAGGTAACGTGCAGCTGTGTAGCTCTTTTTTGCACCTCAGTCTACGGTTACGTTGACAGCTGTGAAGTACAGACCCATGACTCGCGCTGCCCTCCTCCTCTCAGAAGTCTTTTCAAACAAACCAGAACTTGACAGGGTTTATTTACTAAACACCATATTTATAACATTATATCACCATTTTCAATAAAAGACCTGATGTTTAAAAGTGGTGCAGCCAGCCTGGTCTGAATTGATATGTATCCCGGCAGGCTGCTTGCAATACATAATGTATGGGGGTAAATTTATAATCACATAAGGACGCGTGCAGTGGGTGATGGTGGCGGCTGCACGACGGCGTATGTCTCAGCATTTTAAACTGGTTTATAGGATGCAGTGCAATTTTTAGATAATTTTTTTTTTTTTAAAGTGCGTCTTATACACCAGATTTTATGTTAAATGATTTTAGGAAAGCTCAGAATTTTAATTTACACAATTTTTTAAGTTGAGGAGATAACAATATAAGTGTTGTATAGTAAAAAAAATATTGGTTTGAGGACACTAGACTGTTAAATAATCATATCATAAGCTCAAATATATTGACCATAAGAAATGAAAACACTGTAGGCTACATTTAAAGCTTTCTAGTATGAGTTTACAAATGTCAGATTAGAGAGAGAGAGAGAGAGTAGAGATTAGCTGAGTTTCACCCTAAAGATGCGTTCACTCTTTCATTCCTGTCATTGTGTGTGTCTCTGTATCTTGCAGTGCCCGACCCGCCCAGGAACCTGCAGCTGTCCTGTGATAACGACGAGGACGGGAAGGTGCAAGTGTCCTGGAGTCCTCCTGACAAAGGACACGGCCTCATCAGAGAGTACATCGTAAGTCATTTTCATAAGCATCAAATCCTTTGACTGTGTATAAAGATGGACAACAAGTCTCCCCCCTACTGGTTTACAAAATTTGAAACCAAAATACTCCCTGACAATGTTCATTCAGCGGCAGTATCTGTGAAGTCTGGTGGAGCTATTTAGGCCCCGTCCCTTCCTCTAACCAAAACACACATTAAAGTGGTGCACACCGCACTGCAGGAGCCGCATTTGTCAACAGAGCTGTCAATCATTACATCCGATTTTATACAATAAAAAAATAAAAGATTGGGGCTTCTCAGATAGAAAAAAATATATATATTGGACATAAATCAGCATGAGAAGAAACAAACTATGACGATAGAATCCTCAGTTAAGCAAAATGTATTTGACGTGTATTTTGATTTTAGAGTTTGACCTATGTCCCATCTGTTAACATGGAGGAGGCGGAGCTTATGATCTTTACTGCAGCCAGTCAGCAGGGGGAGCTCCTAGTGTTTTGGATTTTACTTAGTCGGGTATGGCTGCATCCGGGCGCTCTCTCGTCTGTGTTCTCTCATCTCATGTGCTCTGGCACTCCGCTCTTCCAGAAATTAACAACGCCAAGTGTGCTGGGTCAAGAAGCAGTTTACAAACTTGCGCATTAATTAATATTTACAGTCTATGATTAATTCAAACATTACCACCGCGCCAAAAGAAGAGAAGAGTGTAGAAAACGGTGAAGAAGATGGAGTCATGCGCCCGAGGTTTACAAGAAGCCCAAATGAATGTATGAATGAAAAGACGTTCAAATGAGTCACGCAGAGGGAGAGTTAGAGCGCCGTTTTTTTCAACAGCTGAACCGACGCTGCTGATTGAGCTGTGTGTTTATTTATAACTAAAAAGCACATAAACATATAGAATGGCGAAATTGCTTATTTTTTATTTAGTCTTGAATGTATAAGTACGACGGAGGATTAGGGCCATGTTACATTTTTTAAAAATTTCGAGATTAAAGTCGAGATTAAAAAAAATAATAATAATTTTTTAACATAACCCTAATTCTCCGTCGTATATAAGCACCTAGTATGTTTGTAATATATCACATGTACACTACATATTTTTTTTTTCTGGGGGTTTATGTTGAAAATTAGAAGCTCAGGGGGCTCGGCTTCAGGCACACAGAGGAGAGCACACAGAAGAGGGTAGCCAGGCTGCAGACTTACAGTCTAGGAGACTTTTGGGGAGCTGTCATGCCATCCATCTTTTCATTCAATCAATGCAGGAAACCTCTTTTTGTTGCCTCCTCCTCACTGGGATATTTATGTGTCACTGTGTTTTTATCTGATGTCAGGTTGAGTACAGTGAGCGAGGGGGTCTTGAATGGACGTCACAGAGGTGCACCACCACCAACACTGACGTTAAAGAGCTGCAGCCGGACACCATGTACAGGTTCAGGGTAAGAAAATAACACATGCACAAACAGAGTGTTCCTGTTTAAATGGCTGTCTCATTAAAACTATATTAGCTGAAGCCTTTATTCTTCTTTCATCAGCAATGTGTTACACTGTGCAACAAATTGACATTCAAACAGTAAAACTTTTAAGATTGAATATTGACGCTGGTTAATCGATCTGATCAGTGAAAGTGTGAAACAACATGATTATATAAAAATGTTAGGGCTGTTTTTGATGTGGACTTTATTGTGGACTTTCATTACTGATGCATGATGGTTTCTGTTGCTATGGTGATGTTTCTCAGGTGGCAGCAGTGACGAGTCGAGGTGTTGGAAACTGGAGTGAAGTGAAATCCATCACGCCTAAAAAAGGTAAGATGAATGCCCTGACACTTTCCCACACACTCAAACACTGCCCCCTGCTGGTGGTAAACAAGTACTTGAGATTGTGCTGGTGTGACGTGAACGCTGCTGACGTTTCTGTTTCTAATGCCTCTGTCTCGGCCTCTTCTTCAGAGGTGCTGTTTTTCCTCTTTTTGAGATAATATTGATGAAAATTATAATGAAAGCATTATGTCAACAAAGGACCATGCATGTGTTTTTTATTTTTATTTTAATGCATCAGCTTAACCTAACTTAGAGCATGTGGGCGAGTAGTTTGCAGATAGATATCGTCATCTGTGGGGACGCTTCATATACATCATATTAATCCTGGTTTGTGTTTACCCACACGTACACATGCATAAAAACAAAAACACAGTATAAACAACCAGATGCCAACCCCTCGTTAACCAGCTTGGTGGAAGACCATTCCCACCCCACCCTCCAATTAACCTTCCCTCCTGCTGACTGGAGTTTCTACAGCTGAGAGACCTAAAGGAGACCGTGCAGCAGAGAGGTCTAAGGGCAATTTATTGAACAGCAGGTGCCACCAGTGATTTAATGACAGTGTTTGTGGTGGATTTTCTTTGCAGCAGTTAGGCCAGATTCTGTTCTCATGTGCACACATACAGTAGGGACCTGGGAACAGTCATTAAGCAGGCATAGTAAGGGGCAACATGGAATCTCCCTTACTGATAATTTCTGAGAGAGATTCTGTGATTTGAAACTAAAAAGGACTGCACCGCAGGACGCTCCCAAAACTCACGACCTGGAAACATCCTGAGTTTTTCAGGAGATTTCTACAGGTGTGAAAGCCCTATATGTGTAAAAGAACCTATACAACCTTGTGAACAGAATTGACATAGAGGAGATTCAATTAATTCAAGCCTATATCTAATTTGAGGTGTTAAATCTTAAATGAATGGGTTAGCAGTCAGGATTTTATGGTAGGTGCTTTTTTCTAAAGACAAAAGGTGGAAGAAATCCAAATTAGCAGTTTCCAGCATGATATGATTAAATTCCTACATTTTTAACAAGTACTTTATTTATTCATTTTCACTCATTCAGACTCTGATCTTTTTTTTCCACACATGAAGAAATCATGCAGGTTTTTAATTTGAAGCCCATGGAGGGAGTCCTGAGTTATTGGTGTAGAGCAGAATAAAGTTAAAATCTCTGAAGAAGAGGAAGTTGTCATCATTTTAGACAGCTCTAAATCTGTTAGTTTATTTCTGTCTCCTCTGCAGCTCTGCCTCCGCCCTCTGTGATCACCGACACTGTCACCAGCGACTCGCTGAGCTTCTCATTCAGCTTCAACTCTCAGTACGAGGTGAGAGATTTTCTCTGACAGGTTCCCAAAAATGATGGACAAACTGAAAAGAAGATGTGTTTTTACTTTCCTACTTTAAATTTCCAAAGATAAGACATAAATAATATGAGACCATGAAAATGTGCTGTGTGCTACTTTAATAGAAAAGGCCTCATCGGCTAAACATTTTCCATGAAATATAAAGATGTGATTATTTCAGTTTATAAAAAAAGATGTGAAACGTCCTGAATAATGCAGATCTGTTCGTGTACTCGTAGGATGTTTGTTGTCATGGAAATTATCTCCAGAGTACAGATTTTTAACCTTTGCTCTGTGAAGACTTCAGGAGATTGTTTTGAGAACATTCTCCATTGTGTCTCTGTCAAACTTTAGTCTTCTCTGTGTGTGTTGAGACAGGACTAATGCGTCTCTGGTGTTTCTTACAGGTCAAACAGTACATCGTGATTCTATCCTGGCAGTTTGACTCCCATGTCAAGGAGAACAAGAACTACACCGTCACTGAGAGGATCCTCAGAGGTGATCATGCTGGAAAACATATTTCATCATGTTTTAATCACACTCATTTATCTGAAAAATAATGTTGATGCCTGTGTGTGTTTCCAGCTACAAACCTGACAGAAGGGACGGTGTACGAGGTGGCCGTGTGGGCTCACACCAGTATAGGAGACAGTCCCACTGCTCTGTCCCATCACCAGACCAGCGGCACCCAGCCAGACCGGCCCCATTTCAAAGCCGGGCCCTCAACCAGACCGCTGTGGACTGCAGCTGGAACATGACTGGACCCCTTCCTCAGGTACAAAACAAAGCAGATGTAGACTTCCAGTGAAAAAGTCAAATCTGTTAATACATTTTAATTAAAGCCAAGGTGTGTGTGTGTGTGTGTGTGTGTGTGTGTGTGTGTGTGTGTGTGTGTGTGTGTGTGTGTGTGGTTTAGGTGTATGGTGTGTTTTATGCCACCTCCTTCCTGGATCTGTACCGCAGTCCTCGTCAGCTCAGCACCTCGTCTCCCAGTCTGACGGTCACAGTGGACAGTGATGAGCAGTATCTGTTCCTGGTGAGTCCAAATCCAAACTGGAATCACAGAGTCGCTATGTTTCGACAATCTTCTGAGCTTTCACACTTTTAAGTCAAAATGTTAAATGCAGAAGCGACTGTGTGAAAATGACGTATAGAGCTTTAAGATCTCAAAGATTTAGGGATACGAAAGGAAGTCAGATGAGAAGTGTTAATTATTGGGCGTGAAGGTTGATGAATCCTGGTGAATATTGGATCCATGCGCTGGGGGTGTTCTCTGACACCACCACAGTTCCTCCAAAAAATTAAAAAACTTTAACGTGTTAAACTGCAGCTCAGTGTCTTCCAACAGTTTAAAATAGCATCAGAACAGAGAGTGATGATCGACGACATCATCAATCCAAAAGTTGAGTCTAGATTGGTTTTAATGTTAAAAAAGTAAAATAGAGAATGGTGCAGGATGAATTAAAACTGTATCTTATAAAAACTATGATGTGAAATAAGATCACTTAACAAGAAATGAAGGGTTGGATTGTGAATTAACTTTTTTGTTTAATTAAAAAAATGTATCTCTAAAGAAAGAAAATAATCACTGAACATTTTGAGCTCTTTTAACACATTTGATATTTCTAAGAAATTCATGTTTGCACTTTAACAAAGTGAAGAAGAAAGTTAGTAGGGAACAGTTTGCTCTCAGTAAAAAAAGCCATTATACTATTAATTAAATTGTACACCTAAGATTTGCAAACATTTTTGATGGCATTAGACAAAGACAATCTTGCAGTTAAAGAACAAAATGAAGAAATAAAAAATCTTACCAGCTCTCACAAAATCATTGTATATATATATATTATAGAGAGAGATAGATAACAGCAAAAATCATTATACTGTTTATTAAATTGTAAATCCAAGATTTGGAACATTTTTGAAGAAGAAAACGTTGCCTCTGTTTGCGTCTGTTCCCTCTATGACTCGTGTATGTTATAATCGTGACTGTAATGCGTGCTGTCTGCCTGCAGGTGCGCGTCGTCTCCCCCTTCTTGGGTCCTCCCTCTGAGTACGCCGTGGTGAAAATGATCCCCAACGAGAGGCTGCCTCCCAGAAACCTGCATCGAGTCAGAGTGGACAAGACACAAGCCACGCTGAAGTGGCAGCCGCCATACGACACTCCCAACGCACCCCTGGTACGACTCATGTTCCAGTGAATGATCAAAAGTTCATTATTACATTCACAGCTTTACAAATCCTGGTATTCTATGAGTTTGTAAAAATTGTGTTTTGATGCGCTTTACTCTCTGATAAAACACTTCATACATCGTGTAACCTGCCTTGAGTCTTTGTTATTGTGACTTCCTGCCCCCTCTCTCTCTGGCTTTGTGAATCTGTAGACGTATGCAATCCATGTGCGGGACGGAATCCGTAAGGTGGAGCGCGACTACAAGCTGACCACGCAGAACAACACGGTGGAGTATCTGCTGAAAGGCCTTGAGCCCGGAGGACGATACAGCATCTCTGTCCGCCTGAGAAACATGAGCAAGGAGGCCAGCTTCACTCTCAGCACAGGTACACACACGGCTTCATCTCAGCCCGTTTGAAACATAAAGACTCATCATGCAACCCGTGGGTCACAAGTTAACAGCGCTCTCTCCCTGCTGTGTCTCTTGATGTCTTCTTATCAGTCCCTCCAGGATTTCTTCTTCTGTGATTATTGCAGCCTAAAATGTCTGATTTTGTAAAAGTTAAGCAAAATTCATCAAAAACAACTGAACACTGAACAAAACCATGAATGAAATTGGCAGCTGTTTGAAATGCCACTGAAATGTGTGGCACAATGGTGGATGATGTTAGCATTGTTAGCACCTCCAGCCTTCAGTCCTCTTGCAGGTTAACGTCTGCAATCTGTGCTGAATGTGTTTACTCTATGCTCTGGTTTAAATGGTTATACGCTAGTTTAACCTGCACTGCCATCCATCCACTGTGCTGGGTCACCCGGCAATACAGCAAGGAGAGCAGGCCCATTAACTGGAGCGACTGCCCCATCTAGTGGCGGGTGGCGGTCTAACAGCTTAGACACAACAATGAACCAGCATTGTGGTCCTACATTGATCTAAATATTTATAAATGAATGTGACAGTGTTTAGTTGTCTAATTGCACACATCAGAGATTCTGTTCTTAGAGTTTAGTGAGCCGTCAGATCAAGTCTTTACATTATATTAAATACATTATAACACATATTTTCCCTCTGATTCAGTTCCCCTTCCGGCTCCCGAGGCTCTGAAGATCCTGACTGAGAACGACCACGTGTTCCTGTTCTGGAAGAGTCTCGCTGTCCGAGAAAAGGGCTTCAACGAGAGCAGGGTGAGACTAAAATGACCATCATCTTCCACATTTTTCACACAGTCATAACTCTTTCTTTCACACTACTTCTAGGTTTCTATAAGGTTTCTACGCCCTCTTTGTATCAATCAAACTTTGCACAAATGGCTATCAGAATCAACTACTTCTTTAATCAGTCAACTAAGTTCAGTATGGGGATGATGTACTGAAGAAAGAATCAGTTCAAACTTTCATTTTAAAGCCTAAACATAATTTGACTAACATGATTGTGAGCCAGCTAAAGCCTTTAAGTTGTTATGATGCATAATTTAACTTTTTTTTTTTTTAAAACAACACCCAATCACCATCAAGCAGGATCAACCAAAACTGTCATCTGTTGATTTCTTTTTACTTGCCCCTCATATTTATCATAAACATGTTTCATTACATTTTCAGGGGTATGAGGTGCATGTTTACGACAGTGTGACCAACCAGACGTCCTTCCTGGGAAACACCACAGAGACATATTTCAGAATCAGCAGCCTGCTGCTCGGACACAACTACACCTTCTCTGTGCAGGCGCGCTGTCTGCTCAGCGGTCAGCTGTGCGGAGAGCCTGCACTCCTGCTTTATAACCAGCTGGCAGCAGGTACGGCGATAAATACACAGACAAACTCAAATATTACTGTAAGAGCTTGTAATTAGCAATAAAGAAAAAAAAAAAAAAAAAAAAAGATTTCCCATTTATTCTTCCAACGTTACCTTCTCACCTCCCCAGGGGCGAGCGATGGCTCCCGCGCTGACAGCCACTCAGGGGACATGGCGGCCGTGGTGGTTCCCGTCCTCTTCCTGTTGCTTCTGGGAGTGTGCGGCGGCTTGGTGGCGCTCTACCTCCGACACCGCAGGCTGCAGAACAACTTCACCGCCTTCGCAAATTCGCATTACAACTCCCGCCTGGGCTCCGCCATCTTCTCCTCCGGGGACGAACTGGGTGAGACGATTGAAATGTTTCTGTCGCTGTGTGTGTTTCTTTAGGCAGCACACAGTGTCAAGAGAGCGGACACTTTGTTGATGCGTTGACAACACTGGGGGCCTGATGCACAAAAGGACTGCACAGCTTTTGTGCGAGCTGAACTTGTGTAAATGAGATCAGTTCTGTCAGTGACTCATCACATGTTTGAAGATGATCCGGAGCTATTGTGTCTGAGTTGCCCTGACTTCCTTCATTCAGGGAGGAAGCTTTGTTTTAAACTGTGAAACTTGTAACCTTTTTTTTCCCGAGCCCGGCCTCACAATTAACTTGAAAAAGTATTCCCTCACCTCCTATCTCATCATCTATTTGCTGATGGAATTGAGCTCCGTCAGCACGGGAGCGCAGCCCCATGCAGACTTTAGGGGAAGATTTATTTTCTCCACATTCAGACTGAAAAACAAGAGTGAACTGTAGCAGGAGCAGGCCAACGTTTTGGGTGTTTTTGCGAATATCATTCAACTTTATGCTTTGGGAATTAGACTTTGAGACAGAGCAGATAGTAGACACAGTAGATGCAGTTTGTGGTGCCATAAGCGCCATAAAACTATTCTGAGATTCTTTGCTTTAAACTTTGGCTCTCTCTGAAAGAAGGTCAATGCAAGCAGAGTTGAAAAGTTCATGAAACAAATCCAACACTCAGTAGAGCGAGAGGGAGCTGCACATTTTTCTGTTTGTTAGCACAAGCTTCCTCTTTGATTTATGTACATTATGCCACTGTGCTCATGTTTATTATATTTGATGATGTTAACATGTTCACAAACATCCCTCTCTCTTCCCTTCCTCTCCAGGTGATGATGATGAGGATGCTCCCATGATCAGCGGCTTCTCGGACGATGTTCCCATGGTCATCGCGTAGCACCACATCCCTCCCTTACCAGTTTTCTCTTTCCTTCTCCCCCTTTTCTCTTCTTCCTCTCCCCCCTTCACTCCCCCCGTTTCTTCCAGTCAAACGGTACGGTACAAAGTGGAAAAGGTCGAAAAAACTTTGCCGCCATCCCAAAAATCTGTTGATAGGAAGCCATCCCGATTAGCAGGAAACATGAAGAAAAATGGAAAAGTGTAAAGAGAGAAAGAGATATTTTTCAAATATACAATGCACTTTTTTTGGATGCGCAATAACTTATTTTTTATATTGTTAAATATATATATATATAAATATATATATATATATGGGGTCGAATGAGGACTGTCAGGAAGAGGTGAACACTGAAGAAACTGTGAAGGATTTGAGTTTGTGGAGCTCGCCCAGGGAAAGAGAGACCCTATTTGTAAAGCAAACTCACCATCCATAGGAGGGGTTCATTGCTTAAAGCCAAAATCAGCATCCAGAGACTGTAATATAGAATGCAAAAAAAAAAACACACACCATGAGAAAAAAAAAAAGAGAGAATAAGACAACATGCTGTATACTATATGTACAAAAAGAAGATGGAGGAGTATCAGTTATGTATCGTGTTCATAGTACAGTAGTACTACAGCAGTATGTAACGTTGGTGTCATGTAAGAAGCAGTTTGATTAGTTAAAGAGGAACTCTGTCGTTTTATCCTGGGCACTATCTTCTGGTGGTTTTAGGGTCTAAATTAATTTTTGAATTGCTTCAGTAGATGACGTCAGCCAGCAGTATTGAAAACAAAAAAAGCTCCAATCAGAGTGCTTGTTTTTGTCGCTGACAGTAACAGAAAGCGTTCCTACAGACTCTTTTTCTGAATGAATAAGATGATTTCCCTGTAATGAGACACCTCTGTTGTATCTCTCCCTTCAGAGGCAGCAGAGTTCATGAACAAACACAGTACGTTTACTTCACAGGACACAGGAGGTAGTGGTCTGGCTCGGCCTCTGCCTCAGTCTCTGTTTTTGCTTTGTTGTGTGTTTGTTAGAGAGGGTTGGCTCTAATTCAACAAAACAGAATTATACAAACTCACAAACTGTGCCATGTGCTAGCTGTAAACCTGAACTTTTAGTCTATGAGGTAAAATTTAGCTTGTTTTGTCAGTGGAGTCTTGTGGCTTTGAACAGAGTGGTGTCACCTGTTTCAGGTTAAAATATATATTTTTACTTAATTCTCTAATGGTTTTTTTTGTGAAATGTTGCCAGACATTTAGAAAAAGCAATCTGAGCCTGCAAGTGCTCAAAGCTAAAACCTTTCGTGAGTGTTACCTTCAGCTCTTCAAGCCCACTTTGCAGCTGCTGGCTAAATCAACGTACTAGAACAGTTCCAAACGTTTAGGTACATATTTGTCATTAACCCCTCAAATCTATGAAAATAGTGACCAGAAAGAAAAAAACAACCGACCTCCTCTTTAACAGCGGATCATTTGAAATCATTCACATCTTTTGAGTTGTTCATCTCTGTGAATGATCACCAGTCCAGAAACTGTTGATTCATGTAAATTCATCAGCTAAAGACTCATGACACCCAGCAGCTCAGTGACTGCTTCGTCCAGTGGCACCGTGCAGTGTCCTCATAGATACACCTTTATTTTCTCACCACCAGCACACTGTTGTACGTCTGTATGTAGAGAAAACACGCGTACCATGATGAAAGAATAATCATGGCTTTTAGGTGGGAAAGACTCCCCATCAGAAATATTTGTAAATATTGGCTTTTAATGTGTCCTCTCCTTGTAATGCTGCACCATATTATTCTGTCAAATGTGTTTGTTTTTTTTTCTCTCGAATTGTTCAGGACCACACATTATTTTGTCCCCCCTGCGTATTGCCATAGCTGTAGTCATAGAGGAAGTGGGTTCTCAGGGAACTGTGTCGGAGTGGACACCCGCGCAGCATCACCATCAGCATCATGGCTCAGGCAGCACTGTCCATCTACTGTTGAAGAGGTACAGAAACATGGTGGAGGTACTGGATCGGCTGTGGGTGGAATGACGAGGCAGACGCAGATTATTGTCAGGGGGGAGTTGATGAGAGAGTCAGGGTTTAGATAAAAGTCTAAAGAGTTAACTCAAACAAACCTTTATGCTCACTTTTAACCGAGCTTTAGTGTAAAGTCAGGTGTGAGAATCCAACAGCAACACGCCTTTCCACAAACGGTTTGCTAGCAGCTTCGTCAAATAAAGGTTAAATATGCAAGTTAGCTTACCAAAACAGACCACTCCTGATCTCTTTGGAGGAGCAGAGTTTGTTTGAACAAGGTAAAAAAGTTGAATTCAGGTTCCAGACAAGTTGATTTTTTTTTCTTAGAGCTGTGAGGAGTTTTGAGCTGGTTATGAAAAACACTGAAATTCATGCTGATGTTGATGATGAAAATCATACAAAACCATCAGCAACAAGACTGATACTTTCTTTATAGTCATTTTGAATGCTTGTAGCCACTGCTGCCAAGGGGTCGGTGTCAGACGAGGTGATTAACAACACGCTGCGGAAACAGACTTTCATTATATTTTCTAAAGATTCCCAGGGACTGACATGTTTGACTGTTCAAAGATACCAGGAGGAGATTTTTCATCACAGAACACCTTTTACAAATGTACAGGACACGATCAGCTAAGTGATAAGAGGTGTTGCTTTGTCCACAGGGGGGCGCCAAAAATCAATACAAACTGGATGTTCCTCACAGGAGCTTTAATTTTTTGCAGCAAAGGGAGAAATCTTTTGTCAAACTTAACGTCAAGGTTTCTCTTTTCAGTCACATCTAACAAATGAAAGCAGAAAGCACTGTCACTGTTGGGCAGCTGGCCAATAATTATTCAAGTATTTTTGCTGTGAATAAAACGAAATAATTGCCAGACCCTGTTGAATGGCAATTTCCATTAAAGCTTTTTGAGGAAGTTTCCATGTGTGCTGATTTTGGCGCCACCCTGTGGACAAAGCAGTGCATCTTATCTCTTACACGCGTTACAAAAAAATTCTTCTTTAGCAATCAAATGTATCTCATGGAGAATATTTACCAGCAAAAAATGTCTGCTAAGGCTGTTTATGCATTGTTCACTTTGTCTGACACGCACCACACAGCACGGGTTTCAAACATTAATAATTACAGTGAAGAAGTAACACAGTCTTAATGCTGATGGTCATGCGCTCATGTTTCATAACCTGCTCCTCACAGGAGCTCTAAAGTGAATATCATTTAGTCCACGTTGTAGCTGGTGTTAGAAATTATGTGACCTGGCTTTAAAGGATGCTGTTTCTGGATTTTTATTTTTTTTGGCTTTGAGTGTCCGTTACTGCTCAAAGTACATAATGTGAGAGAATATGATTTTTATTTGTTTTGTTTCTTCTTCAGATGTGCCATTAGTTGGTCTTTGCTCAGTAGGAGGACAGAGATGATAACCTGTGAGGGAGGGGTTTTGTCTCTTTTGATGTGATGAATCTCACTGTTGCACGCCCATAAGCTGATCAACTCAAAGACGTTTTATTGAGTCATGCTTCTGTTCGGCCCCCTGCCCATATAGTGTAGTCTTATCTCATGATCTTTGTGGTCTGCCTCTCAGCTTGAGCCATTTGAACTGATGGTGTTCTGCTTTTTAATGACCTTGTTCTGTGTTTTGTTTGTAAAAAAAAAAAATGTCTCCATGAATGTATTTTGTATCTTTTTATGGTACTGTCCCAGCTCATGATGCTAGCATCACCACCTGTGAAGTCAATGCACTCTCTCTGCTTCTAGCCCCCCTGTTTTTCTTTTGGTTGTTTCTCTGTGGGCTGGCTTCTGCAGACAAATCTCAGCTGTTACAACCCAAACCCTATTTTACTCAACCAGAGCAACAAACCATTCTTTGTCTGATTTTTTGTGTTCATCAATTTTCATTGCCAGATCTTTAACCGGTGTCTGTACAGAGTTTTAAGGTTTCCTCAAGACTTCACTTTGATTTCACGCAGCTTCTCATTTTGTACTTTGTTCTGTTTTCTTGCCTTAAAAAACAGAATTTGTGGCATTAATGTTTTTTTTGTTTGTTTTTTTTGGCTCTGTGGAGATTCTGATTATTTTGTTGAGCCACATAATGCCTTATTAAAAAACATTGGGTTTCTATGTGATGACATGTTTGTAGAGCTAATGTTACTTTCATTATCGGTAGACGTGCCAATTTTCATAACAATCCATGGATTCATTTTTGAGTACATAAAATGTAAAAAAAAAAAAATAGAAAGTGTACTCCTTTAAACAATTTCCCAGAGCTCAACGTTATGTTTTCAAACTTCTCTGTTTGTCAAAACTCCCAGAAATCTTTATTTATGCTCTTTAAAGACAAAGTAAAGCAGCAAATCTTCTTGTGTAAGAAGCTGGAATCGATATGACATATTTTCCCCGCAGGAAGTTACTGAAACAGCAAATTGACTAAATAATGTTTGCAATTAATTTTCTTTGAATCGATTAAGTGAAAATCATTGCAGCTTTGTATGATAAAACACGAGTGCACACACATGCATGCACACACACACTCACACACACAGCCTGCACACGAGGCTCAGGAGGCTGACGAGGAAGTTCCTTTTAGGGCATTTGGTTGATTTTGTCAGATCACTGCACCTTCCTGCATCGGCTGCTATAAGCCAGCCGCTAAGTCTCTCTTTTTAGTCCGCTTTTACACATGTACAAAGTTCAATCATTGGTTCTTAAATGACTGTTTTGCTCCCCACTTGTCTTAATGTCGCCTCTTAATGTCAAATAGTTTGCTTTAAAAAAAATGTTGTTGGGCACAGAGTTTGATCATGTTGAACTTGGCCATGTTTGGAGATGTTAATGTCTTGCTTGCTTATCTCAGAGGTTGCAGGAACAATGTGATGTTTGGAGAAACAGTGTGAGGTGTTTTAAAAACCACTTATACTGAAATAAACTTTATGAAAATCAAACTGGGATCCTTTTTTCTTATTCTGGGAAGGAGGATTTGTAATATCAATGAATGGAACGTTTCTATTTTCGGTATTGAGGAATGTAAAAAGAAGTGTCACGTGTACCATCACCTGTATAAATAAATAAACGATATAGGATACCTTAAAAGTGAAGCCAAAACATGGGGAGCGCCCCCTACTGACAGGCTGCAGTATAGATCATACAACACATCTTCTCCATGTTAACTTCAAGGCCAAGGATCAAACTAGAAAATCTAAAGACACTTCAAATACATTTTTCTCAAGCATGGTTTCCGTTGCTATAGTAACGAGAGTTCATTTTTCTGAGGCGTTTGGTTTTAGTACGTTTTAGGATGCCAAGAAGGGGTTTTAAACGCCTGGAAATGACATCTCAATTTATGTGCAGTGATTAAAACTTGCCATATAAGCTTCTCTGCATGACTCCTTAAAAAAAACAATATAAATCAAAACCTGTCTTTTCACCTATAAAGCTCTTAATGTTCAGACACCGCCATCTCTCAAAGAGCTCAGAGGAGTGTATTACCCCTCTAGAACATTACGCTCCCATACTACAGGCCTAAAGGTAGTTCATTCTGTGAGGTGACATCCCTTTTCAGGCAAACGGGGACGCTCAGTATTTCAATGGTGGCTCATTGTGTCAGGTGAGTAACCTCATTCATATAAAGGTAACTCATTCTGTGAGGTGAGGAATCTCCATCATGTACTGTTAAGGTAACTCATACTTTGATAGGAAGGGAGCTCACTCTTAGAAATGCAGTTCATTCCTTCAGGTGAGGAAGCTTTTCCCACAAAAGAGGACGCTCATCATTTAAATACAATTCATTCATACTGTATAAAGGTAGCTAAGTCTTTGAGGTGAGGACGCTCACTATTTCAAAAGAAGTTCTTTCAGTCAGGAGAGCTAGCTCAGAGATCTTTTTTTTCCCGGTGGTCCAACATGACAAAGACTTCTGTGGCATTACAAAAAGTGGTAATTTCCATTTCTGTTAAAAACATATTGATCAGTGCAGCATTAGATCAGAGTTTTTTATGCACACAGGGGACTGAGACGATTACTGAACAACAGCAGTGACTCAGTGATGACTTGCTTAGTTTCTGGCTCTTAAATCTACATTTCCAGTCCGGCCTTTGTTTGAGGACAAAGAGATGTCTGTATTCATGCAGGTTATTGAAAAGACTCGTACAGTAATTCCTTTCTTTCTGAAATATTCCCAGCTAAATGGCCTATCACTCGGGATCGAAGAGCTCCAAAGAGCTCACACAGAGTTCAGACGGGTTCATTGTGAACTGTTGAACTGTTGAGTAAGACAATTGGAAGTCAGTGCAGACGAAGCTGGAGGCTCCTCGTTAAAATATATATCACTCCCACTCACATTTACTGAAAATATCAGCGGTATGAAAAGATTTAACTTTATCCAGGCAAGTCTGTTTTCTCAGCAAAGATGGCTGCTAAAGATATCCCAAACTTTATTTAATGCAACTTTTGGAGCTCACAGAAGAATAATTTTGTGCCTCCAGGTCTTCAGGAATGTTTCACTTTGGAGAGGCAGGTGGTGTGCACAGATTAGATTGGATCAGATTAGGAAAGTGTCAGAAAGGTCCGAAAGAGTTTGAAGACAAAAGACAAAAGAGCCATTTAACAGACAAATGAAACCTCCTGATTTCCAGTATTGCAGTCCTAAACAGTCAAAGACAAATGAACAGTAAATATAGAAAGAGGGCTGATATTCATCTTTACTGTTCACTCCTTGGTACAAATCAAGCTCAACCCATAGACTGAGTAAGTGAATGTGTGCACCTCCATAATGGTATCATTTAAATATAATAATACTGAACAAGCTTGAACTAAAGTCAGTGTTTAACATTTACTCATATCAATGTGTTTTGTGATATAGCAACAAACCGTCACTTTTATAAAAAAAAGGAGTAAAAAGTACAGTAAATTTATTTTTTACAGACTGTAACCCAATAATGATTCAGGAATATTTAATTTTTTCGGAAAAATGTGAACAACTTTTTTGCAGTGTTCATTTGGGAAGACATTTTAGATTTAGTTTTAGTCTTTGTTGAAGTTCTCGAAATCGGTCTTTGTCTCAAGGCCGGTGTTGAGACCACTTTTTGAAGGTCTCGGAATAGAAAGCATTTTTACTCGTTCTCGTCTCGGTCTCATACTGGGCGGACTCTGGATTTTAAATCAAGATGGGTCAAGACCCACCGCTGATTGGCTATTTGTCCACGTCATTACTGTGATAAGGAGGAAAACACCTCATTCTAAAAGAAGGAATAATAATGCCCCCGGTTACAGCCGCAACCTTCCCGTTGTATACGGTCTAAGGAAGTGACAGGCTCGCTGCACACAAGATGATGAGATATTTATGGTCTTGGTCTTGTCTCAGTTTTGCCCTGCTTTGGTCTCTTTTTGGTCTTGATCCCTAAATGTCTCTGTCTTGTCTCTGAATTCTCTGATCTCGGGGTCTTGGTTATTGTGGTCTTGAATACAGCACTAGTCTTTAGATGAAAATGTGAGCGGCTGTGGCTCAGTTGGCAGAGTCGGTCACCTCTCAACCGGAAGGTCGGGGGTTTGATCCCCAGCTCCTTCAGCCACATGTCCAATGTGTCCTTGGGCAAGATACCTAACCCCAAGTTGCTCCCGCTGCTTCGTTGGTGGCGTGTCTATGTGTTAGACACTTTACATAGCAGCCTCTGCCATCAGTGTGTGAATGTGTAGGTGTGACATGTGATGTATAAGCCCTTTGAGTAGTCAGAAGACTAGAAAAGTGCAAAAGAAGCTCAAGTCCATTTGAATATTAGTTTTAGTCACTTTTGCCCTTTATACTTTAAATCTAGTTGTAGTCGTCAAACTTGATGTATTTCAGGTCAGTTTGAGTAAGAAAACAGTGATTACAGTGATTAAGACTCAACCCCACAGACTGTTCTGGTAATAAACCTCTTTCTTCTCAGTTCTATGTAGTGTAATATAAGGATGTACGTTGTAGTTGCAGTAACTCTGTTAACGTTATATTGCTTGCAGCTGTGTCATGTGTTCCAGGTGCAGCTCACTGATGACTGATTGTGATTGGAGGCACCTGTGTGAAGGTGTGGGCTGGCTCTATATATGATACATGTTACACTGCCCTCTTACAGATGAACAGGTTTTTATTTGATTCCTTATTGTTTCTGGACTTTTATGTCTGACAAGGAAAAAAAAAAAAAGTACATACAAAAAGAAAACAGAAGTCTTAAGTGACCAAAAGCTGAACCTTTCACTCAGACAGTTAAAGGGAATGCTTAATCTAAACATGTTTTTTTTTTGGATGTTGTCTTGTGATAATAAGCTATGTATGTGATGTTCAACATAAAATGTATAATGAACTTAAACAAAGCCCTACGGACATGATTTAGTCCTGTACAGCTGGGGGCAGCACCTTATCAGCATGACAGGTTGCAGACTCGGTGGCTGGGTGCTGCTGCTGCTGATGATGGGTGGAGGAGGGAGGGAGAGAGAGAGAGTGTGTTTGCTCAGAAGAGATTAGAGGTAGAGGTCAGGGGTTGTAGATAAACAGTCCTATCCTGTCTCGGTCAGGAAGTGAACACCCACACAGAGCTCCGTGTTTGATAAAGTGAACACTCCTGAAATAGCCCCCTCCTCTGTGAACCGGTTGGACAGTATGAGAGGAACATGGTGGGTTCGATGTTGCAGCCGGTCAAAGTAAAAACCAGGCTGCCTCCAGGGCCCTCAGATGGGCCTCAGGTTGCTGAGGAACACGGATCCACTCTGGACAACAGCAGCTCAGAGTCAGACCAAACACAGCTGTGTGTGTGTGTGTGTGTGTGTGTGTGTGTGTGTGTGTGTGTGTGTGTGTGTGTGTGTGTGTGTGTGTGTGTGTGTGTGTGTGTGTGTGTGTGTGTGTGTGTGTGTGTGTGTGTGTGTGTGTGTGTGTGTGTGTGTGTGTGTGTGTGTGTGTGTGTGTGTGTGTGTGTGTGTGTGCGTCAGCCAGCCACCAGGGGGCAGGAGAGACTGTGCTGCAGCTCCATCATCTCCAGTTACGTTTCATCAAAGATACATTTCAGTCGGTCTTACTGGATCTGTTCTGTTTTATCACCGTCTGCATAAAGGAGCATATTGTCACAAAATTAACCCGAGCTGATATTTGAGCCATAACGTCAACTTTGGTGTTGCTTTTAATCAGCACTTCTGTAGGTCAATATTTACAGGTTTTTGCTGAGAGCTGACCTGCAGATGGTTGTGTTGCTTCACCTCATGCAGGGATACATTTTAAACAAGTACTCTTTTAGGACAGAGTTGCTTTAATGTGAAATGTGGACATATTCTTTCTCTATATGATTATGTCATTAAAGTTGCAAAGTTGATCACGTCTGTGCCCATGAAAAGGTAGCGCCATGATTTAAGGGACCACTTTCAAAATCAAATATTTTAACTATTATATTTTGAATATTCATGATCCCTAGAAGACAAATCTCACAGACTTTGGTGAACATCAGACATTCTTTATCTTCATCATTAGGACAGTTTATTATGTAAAAAACTACCTGCAAGAATGAAGAAAATTCCATCAGTGGTGGAGACCACTGGGTTAGTCAAGTCTTAACTGGCTTACTGACTTCTGTAGGGATGGCTTGAAGACCCGTACACACACACACACACACACACACACACACACACACAAATGGCACTTATTTACCCTATCAATCTCCACTACTCATATCTACTTTAACTGCTTACTTTAAACGTTTTATCTGCCTAAACTTCAAAGTTTGTATCTGTTATTTATGCTATGACTATTTAAATCCTCAGGCTGTTTCAAACATGGACACAGTATCAGTGATGTCACCCATTGGTTTCTGAAGAGGCAGTGTGAAAACCAACGATGGTGGTTGCTATATCGGAAATGAATCCAAACTAACTTTTGAGTAATCTAGAATTTGACAAAAAGATGGAGCTAAGGCCGGACTTTCCC